GCTTTCGCAGCAGTGAGCACAGGTAGGTCAGCTCCCGCCTCACCGGGTGGACAGCGTCGGCCAACAGGAGTTTAGGAAGGGGTATTTTCAGCTGCCCACTGTGCTGTAATCAGGTCACAGCAGTGTTAAGCAAAGCGATTTTATCCTGCTCGTGCAGTCTGTGGGTCAGGAATCCAGACAGGGCACAGCATGGAGGCCTTCTCTGTCCCTCCGTGTCTGGGGCCTCCAAGGGGGTGGCGTGAAGAGCATGCTGATGACGCTTCAGGAAAACAGCCCCTGCTGGTGGGAGCAGAGGGTGGTCGGGTCATATTTGTCAAAGTGACAAGTGCCCACGCCCTTTGAGCCAGCAAGTTCCCTTTAGGAAATTATCCCACAGGAAGACATGCACACAGGCACTAGGAAGTTGTGCAAGCGCACATACCGCAGCCCTCTCGGAAACAGTAAAGACTATGGGGAGGCTGGCTAATAAAGGCACGGTACAGCTAAACATGGAACGCTGCGTTCTGGTAAAACAAAGTGGTGTGTGCTGAGTGACCTCCATGATAACAGTGGGGAGAGAAACCAAGTCCCAGAGCTGTATGTGTGTCATGCATGCTGTGGGGCAAAGGAAACAGTTGTTTTGAATAGACGTACACCCTTGCCTAGGTCTGGACGATCCGCAGACACAGAAGAAAGGTACCAGCAATAGCTTCAGAAGGTATTAAGGACGAGGTGTTGGGAAGACGGGATACGGCTTAGTTTCACTGTGTATTGTTTTGCAATTTGAATTTGATAGCATGTGAATATATCATCCATTCAGAATTACAATTCTATTAATTTTTTAAAATATTTATTTATTTTTGAGAGAGACACACACACAGAATCCGAAGCAGGCTCCAGGCTCCGAGCTGTCCACCCAGAGCCCAACACGGGGCTCCAACTCATGAACTGTGAGATCATGACCTGAGCTGAAGTTGGACGCTTAACCGACGGAGTCACCCAGGTGCCCCCAAATTCTATTTTAAAAATGCTCATTTTTGATGCTTCTCATCAGAAGTTCAAACCTTCACATAAAAATATTACACTAACAATATTCCTGTTTGCCTTCCCCGAGTGCCTACTGTGTATTATGAAGCAGCTGCACAGGGTGAATTTGTTGAACACGTCTTTGTTTCCCCTCTTTGGTACAGCGGTGTGCAGTGGCTGGTGTTGGTATGGTGCCTGCGGTTTCTATCCCGCACTAGCCTTTTTAGGCTCTTCTTTGCGGCTGGGACTGGGAGCACAAACTAGTTTTCCCAGATGCTTGGGTCAAGTGACCCTGCCTCTGGGAGGTGCTAGTGGGGCTTCAGAAGACAGGAGGGAGAGAGAAGCCATCCCAGCCCAGGATTCTGGTGGCCCCTCAGGCCGTGGTGGTGACAGCAGCTGTGTGTCAGTGCCCCCCCCCCCCCCCGCGGTCTGGAGTGATCACAGTGGACTTACTGGTACCTAAGAGNGCCCCCCCCCCCCCCCCAGGGCGTGGCTCTCAGCTTCTGCTCAAGCAAGCAGGAATCACAGTTCTGGGAGACATTATTTCTCTCTTTGCTCCTCTGGTCTTAGGGGCCACAGCTGCTCCTTCCAGTTACTAGTTTGTGGCTGTCCTCATTATTCCCTGACTCCTCCTGCCCTCCCAACACCTCTGCAAACAATGCCCTGTATTACATTCCTTCTGCCTGAAATACCTAGGATGGCTTTCCCCACCCCCTCACTAAACACTAACACATAGGTAAAACTAAGCCCATTTTACAGATGAGAACATTGAAATCCAGAGAGAGGAAGACACTTAACCAAAGGCAAACCCAGCACCTCTCCTTCCTCACTATGCTCCAGTCACCCTCGTCTCATTTCTGTAACACATTAAGCTTGCTCACACTCCAAGAGCCTTCACACCTCTTCTTTTGTGCAGAACATTGTCTCTAATTCTACATGGGCACAGTTTCTCTTCATTCAGGTCCCATGTAAATGTTACCTCTTGAAAGAGACCTCCTTTAACCACCCACAATCTCCACGCCACTCTACTACATCATCCTGCTTGATTTCTTCACAGAAATTCTCTGAAAATATTTACTTACACTAGAAAGTCCATGAGACCAGGAACAGTGTTTCCTTAGTAAATGGTGCTTAGTACAGGGCATGGAACGTGCATTCAATACTTATTTGCTAAAAAAAATGAATGAATGAATGAGTGAATGAATGAATGAATGAAACACGTGGTACGAGAAGTGGCAAATTATTTTTGAGCACCAGCTAGGACCCGCCTTTCCCACTGGCTGGTTGTCTGTTAGCAGTTCAGGGGTCTCTTCAGGATGCTCCACTGTGTGGGAGTCCACAGGAATTCCAATTTCCACCATTCAGGATGTGCCCTCAGTGGATGCTCAGTTACTACATGCTGGTTGAACCAACTTCCCTATGAACCTTCCAGAAGATGTCTGTGCACTAACAGTCATCATGAGGCAACATTCTGGGGTAGGGGAGCTCAAGCCAGCAGACTGGAAGCAGATGGCCTGTTAGAAGTGCAAGAGCCCGGGAGATGGGAAGATCATGCTAGATCCACAGCTGTCTGAGCACTTATGTTTCCTCTGTGCATTAGACATTGGCCTGGGACCTGTCCTCATTGATGAAGAAGGTGGTGTTTCGAGGGTTCCTCCTGAGGGACATTGGAGCATGGTGTGATCTCTGCAATCTGACAGCTTGGGTTCGGTTTCTGGCACCATTCCTGACCTGGCAGGGTGACCTCGGAAAGTCACTTGGGGTCCTCTGTAACTCAAGTTTCCTCAGTTCCACAATAAGAATGTTGATAACACGTTCACAGGATCGTTGTTAAGGTCCAAAGAATTAAACCACTTAACATATTTAGAACAGGGCTTGGCACCCACAACCATCAGTTGTTATTGTTACCTTATGTAGCATTTATGGATAAGTTCTATCCCCATATAATGCCCATAGCAGTCCGGTGAGGAGAGATACTAATATCACCCCCTGCTTTACAAACAAGCTGTGAGAAGGTTATAGAAGCAGCCCCAGATCTGTTGGTAATGAGAAGGCAGCATGGTAATTGTGGACACGTCTCTAGGATGTGTTAAATATCGGCACTCTGAGGCAAGGTTGTGTGACCCAACAGGAAGAGCAGGTATTTCTTTTTCTTTCTTTTCTTTTCTTTTTTTTTTTAAATATTTTTATTTATTTCTAGGAGAGAGAGAGACAGTGTGAGCAGGGGAGGGTCAGAGAGAGAGGGAGTCACAGACTGAAACAGGCTCCAGGCTCTGAGCTGGCAGTCAGCACAGAGCCCGACGCGGGGCTCGAACCCACGAACCGCGAGATCATGACCCAAGCGAAAGTCGGACGCTTAACCGACTAAGCCACCCATGCGCCCCAAGAGCAGGTATTTCTGAGGGACTGGTCTAAAGTTTAAAGGAGAGCTGATAGCTAGCTAGCTAGCTAGCTAGATGATGGTTGGCTGGGAGAGAGACATTTAAGTGAAAACATGGAACAACCGGGGACCTACAAACACTCAGAATTCGCCAGCCTGGCAGGTTCCAGGCAAGAAGTTTCAGGAGGCAGTTGAACCTGGTCAGTTAGGCAACCTCCAAACCATGAAGAGGCTTCTACATTGTGCTAAGCAGCTTGAATCTCACTGTATAGGTGATGAGGGGCTGGGAGAGGATTTTAAGCATTGAAATCTATTGTAGAATGTGAGCTGGAAGGAAATACGGATGAATCCTCAATGGTAAGAGTGCCTTCTACACCTGCGGCCCCCTGCACAGGCTTGCCGAGTTCCGCCAGGGTTGGATGCTGGGAGCAGGTGCTGTGCTGCTTCTTCCTGTCTCTCAATCTGAAGATTTTGACATATTAAGGGTTGCTAAAATGTTTGTGGAACCATCTAATGTGCCTGGCAACGTTGTCTGTGGAAAGCAGGAGAGGAACCATAAGTTCCAACACTGCAAAGGTTCCCCCCAGGTGGCCCAAAGGATCACGGGAGAAGCATCCAGGAATCCGTGGTTTCCATTTAGTCCATCCTGACTCTACAGCAGCGTGCAGGCAGGGAAATGCCAGGTCCTGTGCGGGGATCCCGTCAGGTGGGGTCATTTGCCCAGCATATACCTTCAAAGACACGGAAATATGAGATGATGTTCACGTCCCCGCAACAGGAGTGGGATGCGTGGTGAAGACCAAAGGGCCTAAGCCGCCCCACCTAAAATGGGCTTTTCTGTCTACGGAACCATGTTTCGCTCATAGCAACCGTCACGTGTTGTAGTTCTTTCTCTTCTTCGCTTTGAGACTCTCAATTCCAACAGTCTGCAAGCAGGAACTTTCGTGGCAGCAGGGACCGTATCTGTCCAGTCCCGAGCATCCCTGGAGTCCACAGAGTTTAGCGGAATGGAGCGGGAGTAGCTAGGGCCCCTGAGAAGGGCCGGTGGCGCCTCGGGCCCCTCGGTGACCTCAGTGAGCAGAGGCGGCTCTGAAGGGCAGGTCGGGCCGCCTTCACGGAGGGCGAGACTGAGGTGCCATCTGTTCGCGCCGGCAGCGGGGCGAGTGCGAGGGCGGAGAGCTCGGGTAGGACCAGCAAGAGACAGGAGGGCCTCATAGAAAGAGCGGCGCGGCTCGGCGACTGCAGCGGGCAGCGCCGGGATGCCTCCCGCGGGGCGTTCTGGGAGTTGTAGGCACCTTCCTTTCCACTCTCCTTCAGCGCTTTGCTCTTGAAGCCCAAGGCCGTACTAGCGGATGGGCGCCTAAAACTTCCAGCCTGTGAAGTCTGGGAATTTTAATTTCTAAAAAGGTGCCCTGAATAGAACTCTTCCCAGGGTGCCTCTTTCCACTCCGCCCGGTTTGAGGACTACATCCCCCAGGCGACCTCAAGGAGGCGGTGCTTCCGGCGCGCGGGATGCATTGTGGACATTGTAGTCTCGTGGGGCTCGATTTTCACCTCCTGGGCAGTCCGGGGCTGTGGCCCGGACTACATTTCCCTTCCGTCCGCCCGCTATCCCGAGGCCGCCTTGGCGCGAGACATTTGCGAGCAGAGTGTCTCCAAGATGGCCGCTTGGGGAAGGAGGCGTCTTGGCCCGGGCAGCAGTGGCGGCAGCGCCCGAGAGAGGTGAGATTCCGGGGCCTGTTGCTCTCCCAGGGCAAGTGGCTCAGGAGCCGAGGAGACAGTGAAGCCTCCTGGAGCCGCACCGCTGTCCCTGCCTTCGTACCAGGACTCCCCCTTCTCGCCCACCCGCCCGCCTCGTACCCCTGCGGGGCACGCGGGGTTCCTGCTCGGGCCGATCCAGGATCTGGGTGGGAGCCGGCGCCCCCTCCAGCTGGGCTGAAGCGGTCTCCATGGAGGGCTCAGGGGAGGTGACGATGGCGGGACCGGGCGAGGTGGGCCGCGGACGTACAGGGTCGGGCCCGGGGCCGAGGCCGGGCCACGCGGGAAGGATCGGGAGCCCAGCTCAGGCCCGAGGGACCCGCCTAGCATCCCGCGGCCGAGCGGCGGCCGGAGCTCCCGTTCCACCTGGTCACGAGCCGTGGTCATCTCGGCCGCGACCCCTGACGTGGCGAGGAATGGCTCTGGGGAGGGAGAAGGAAGGAGAAACCTTCACCAAGTGGGCCTGCTTCGGGAAGGGCAGTGCAGTCTGCACGTTTATCAGGGGAGACTTAACCTTCCCCAGTGTGTCTCCCGGGCCGAGAACCGGCCGCTTCCTGGAACCCTCGATTCTTGAGACTTTTCGCGGGTTCTCTGCAAGCGCCCCTGCGGTGGAAGTCCTTTAAAGTGACCTTTCCTGATGAATGGTGTGTGGGTAGGGAGCTAGGGACTTACTTCTTCCAAGGTGGATCTCCATTAGGAGAACTGACTTCTAGAAGATGAGATTGGAATAGTTTTCGTGTTTCGCGTTGGATTTACAATTTTCTGCTTCAGGAAAGCAGTTTCAGCTGGCAGAAGCCACTAGCTGTTCAGCTACTAGAAATTTGGGAAAGGATGTGTCTTGTTGGAATCACCTGGATTCAGCCCTTCAGTCCATTTTGTTATGGCTTGGTTGGTATGGCAGAGGTCAGCAGGAAAGTTTTGTGTTTGCTTTTTTTGTCTTTTTGGAGAGGCTCATTAAGCGGAAAAGTTCTCTTTCTCCCCCCTTCTCTCAACTACCCTCCTATTCCTTTTCTTTGATTCCATCACATACTCATTGCTGTTTCGTGCAGAAGGCTTGCTCAGCTCATCCTTTCTGATAGTGGTGATAAACCAGCTTGCATTTTCTTCTTAAGCTCAGAGTTATCCAGCATTATCTGTTCTGCATTTCCTCTTCCGTGGAAGAGCAGTGAATGGCAAGCAGATATTTTTGTTTTTCCAACTCCCGTCTGGTATTTCTTAGATCAGACCGTAGGATGAAGTTAAAGGTTTCCAGATGGTTTTTAAACCTGGCAAACAACGTTTGCAAGGTCTTCAATCTGAACATTAATCCGTTAGTAATAGGAAGTAGCCTGTTTCGAAAACCCAGACTCTCTGAAAGGCATTTCTCCTTACTGGATAAAAACAACTGAACAGGCCAAATGGGGATGCCCCAGACATCATCCAGGGGCTGTGCCAGCACAAGTTAACCTTTTATTGATCTAAGAAATCAGATACTGGGGATTTTTTTTCTTCGTGGTTGCAGACCAGCATTAATTCAAAACTGAGTTTTCAAACCAGCAGCCCAGAGGCTGAATCCAGCCCTTGACTGCTGACCCTTGGTTTTAAAAAAAGGAATTTAAGTTAGTTGCCAATACTTAGAACTTGACAGATTTCACATAAAACTCCCTTGAAAAGCTGAGTGGTGGCCGACATTTTTGGCCAAGGCAAATGCTGTCTAGTTCATTACTTACCTGACAGCTTGACTCACCACGGTCGCCTGCCTCGTCTCCTTAGGTGTTCAGGTTGCAACCTTTGGCCTAGAACTGAAGAGTCTGCTCACTCGTGCAGATGCCATGTGTCGGCCGGGGACGGGGCGTTTTGTGATTAGGGGGGCACCGTCTCTCTTCCTGCCAGATATCAGGGTGAGGCTGGGGGGAACCCATGGTTTGCTGCGAGGCCATAGCCAGGCGCTGTCAGAGGGGTCATTTGGTCGATCCCAGTCCCAGTTTCCCGAAGAGCCTTCCACGCTGAGCAGGGGAGGGAAACCTAACCCGCTGCCGGGCCGGCTAGCTACCTTCTGGGCACACCTCCATTCCTGCTCAGTGGGTGGAAAGACTTCGGGTGGGGCAGGCTGGATTAATGGATTGCCCGGCACCGCAGATTAAGAGGCCCAAGCATATTATTGGCTCCAACGACAGAAATAGGCTGTTTATGGCCCTCTTAAATGACTTTGTTCCATGTCACCTTCGTGCTGCCTCGGATCTCAGCTGCACATTGTAGGACCACTTTCTGGAATTGCTCGACACCTAGCTGGAGTCTGCTTTATGCTGAAACTGAAGGACACATTGCCCGGTTTGGGGCAGGGGCTGGAGCAGAGCAACACGTTGGGCAAACTTAAGGCCCTGTCTACTGCCAGACTGTCCCCAAGACCGCGTGTTCCTGACGGTCCACTTTAGAATACACAACGTGTGAATTCTTTACCTGGTTCTCAAGTCTGGAGCTGTGTTCATTCGGTAGCCACTAGTCACATGGGACGATTAAATTTAAGTTAATTAAAAACAGGGGCTCCTGGCTGGTTCAGTCGGTAACACATGCGACTCTTGGTCTCCGGGGTTGAGTTCAAGCCCCACGGCGGGTGTAGAGATTACTTAAAAAAATAAAATCTTTTTTTAAAAAAGTAAAAATCAGTCAGATGAGAAAATTCAGCTCCTCAGTCACACTAGTCACATTTCATGTGCTCAGTAGCCACAGGTGGCTTGGGGCTACCATATTGGATGGGGCAGACAGAGAACACCTCCATCACTGCAGAAAGTTCTGTTGATACGAGGACACTGGTCTAGACTAAAATAGGACAGGGGTAAGAAATCGCAAAATGATAGCTGCTTGCATGTTGATTTTTCTCTCCACTCCGTTAAATCCAGGGAATCAACAGTGTTTGTAATGAAGAACATCAGACTCTGAGCTGTAACCTGAATTCTTGTCCAAAATTCAGCACCCTGGCAGCGAGCACACGAGACAGATTGCCACTTGTCCTGTCGGCGTCTCTGAGACACACTTGCCCATCTAGGAAGGCACAGTGCAGGTGTCTGTGAGTCCTGCCACTCGGGTGCCAACCCGGACCAGCTCACAGACGGTCCCGCCTGTCCCACTCGGGCTGCTCATCTCCACTCCCTCAGGGCCTCTGAGCCTCCCTGAGTTCTCCGTGATTGTTGGAATGTGAGTATAGCCACGTGCTCTCAGTTCCGGTTTTTCGCATCGTGTGAAGATGTCCTTGATCTGATTCTGACCGTGGTGCAAGGCCACAGCGCCGTTCAAAGACCCGGGGTGTTGAGGGCCGTACTCACTGGCCCACATGCTCCGGTTTTAGTGTGAGGTCGCTGTCGGCGGCCCTCGCCTCCCCTGGCTCGAGCCGCCGTCTGCGCCAGCAGGTTTAGGCGGCGGTTCCAAGGGCCTGCGTGCCCGTCCCCCTGTGCCACCTAGTTCCGCAGGACTTGGTCCTCCTCTCTGTCCCCTCCGCTTCATCTGCGAATCGGACAGACGTGGTCCTGGGTGGCTGGTGGAGGGTGCCGTTCCCAGGCCAGCTGAACAGATGGGCCACAAGCTCTGAGGGCAGGTGGCGCACATTCCGGGAGCGACATTCTCCTCACTGTGGCCTGATCCTTTCCGTCCAGAGCTGAGGAACCTTCGGGGTCTAGGGCATTTTTTTTCTCTTGGAAAACTGCCCTTTTGGCTCTAGTGTGTGGTAAAGATGCTCCTTTCCTCCTGGTCTGGATGAGCGACACTGGTACGGCAGCCACACCCAAGTCTCGGGGCGCACAGCCCTCAGGGGCCTACTCGGCCGACTGCCAGAAGCTGGAGTGCGGCACGGTCGGACCACATGTTCTGCTCCCAGAAATCTGCTCGTTAAGATTGTCTGCTGGGGTTCATCCTCGTAGGCATGAACGTCCGTTTTCCTTGACTTACGTGAGCAGTCTGCATTCCAGCGGCACTGACTTGTGCCTCAGCGGTTCAGTCCCATAGGCCACATTCCAGGTCAGGCCCGACTCTGAAGAATGGAGGGGCGGCCTTGCATCCAGGGATGGGGTGGGGTGGGGGGGTGCGCAGCTGAAGCCAGGCCTTAGGTTGGCTTCCGTGTCCTGGGCCTCAGTGAGCAGGGGCGGTGGGAGGGGGTGGCGGGGTGGGAGCCACTGCACAGAGCCCCCACAGGGGAACCTCCTGCTCTGTCCCTGGTACCAGCAGCCCCTGGCTGGGCCACAGAGCTCTGGGAAGGCCAGTAAGCAGCTAGCAGCCATAGCGTTCTCTAGCTCAGGGCCGGTCAGTGGGATTTTGTGATGTGACAGAGGTGTCCTGCATCTGTGCTGCCCATCGGGGAGCCACTAGCCATATGTGCGCATTGAGAGGTTGAAGAGTGGCCACAGCGTCTGAGGAACTGGATTTTTTATTTTATAGGTTTTTTTTTTTTTAAGGCTATTTATTTATTTGGAGGGAGGGGATGGGGGGGAGAGTGTGTGCATGCTGCGCACGCAAGTGGGGGAGGAGCAGAGAGAGAATCCCAAGGAGGCTCATCAGCGCAGACCCCGACATGGGGCTTGAACCCATGAGCCGTGAGATTATTGCCTGAGCCCAAACTGATTGGGAAGCTCAACTGACCGAGCCACCCAGGCGCCTCTTTATTTCAGTTTTAGTTAATTCCGTTATAAAAGCTGTGTGGGCCTTACATTGGGGCGGTGCTTTGCTGCTGTCACTTCAGTGTGCACACCTGACCCCGCTCCAGCCTCATTGCCGCCCTGGGGGGAGAGCTCAGGCCTTGCCCCAGGTGACAAGGGGCCGCCGGGCGCTGCGAGGGGTTTTGCCCTTGGACACAAAGCCAGTGAGTAACCGAGAGGGAGCTTGAATCCAGGTCTCTTGACTCCCACACTTGGTGCGCTGTGTTCTTCCCACGGCAGAGCTGCTCAGCCAGCAGAGCGCCGGGGAGGGAAGTGTTGTCTGGCTTGTGGCTTTCTCTGAAACTGATGGAAATGTCAGCGGCCCATGGAAATTACTTGGCCGGTTTGAAACCATCCGCAATATTTGGGGCTCCCTGCCTGTGTCTTTCTCTACTAATTGCCCCCACTCTTTTTTTTTTTTTATTCTCCAACTTCTTTTTTAGGTTTTTGTATTTATTTTGAGATAGAGTGTCAGTGAGGGAGGGGCAGAGAGAGAGAGAGAGAGAGATTGTGCGAGAGTGAGCCCCAAGCGGCCTCCACGCTATCAGTGCAGAGCCCAGCACAGGGTTCAACCCCACGGACCCCGAGATCATGACCTGAACTGCAACCAGGAGGCGGATGCCTAGCTGCTGAGCCCCCCTCAAGCGCTCCCTCATTAGGCTGTAAATGCGCAGTGTAGAGTCCTCCTGCCTCTGGCTCCTGAGGAAGCCTGCGGTACGGTCCCCTAGACCTGGGGCCAAGGTAAAGTCCAGCGCCTCGCATGGCGGAGGTAATTGAGGGACCGTGTGCTTAGTAGGTAGAAAGCAACCTGACATATGGACCTAGTTTAATGTCATTGTTTTTCTCCTGTTACTCATTTGAAATGAGTTTCCACTAATGTCTTTTTTTTTTTTTTTAAAGTTTATTTATTTTGAGAGAGAGAATGAATAAGTGGGGAAGGGGGCAGAGAGAGAGGGAGAGCGAGTCCCAAGCAGACCCCACACTGTCAGCATGGAGCCCGACGTGGGGCCCAAACTCATGAACCGCGAGATCATGACCTGAACTGAAATTGGACGTTTAACCATCAGCGCCCCTGACGGCTTTTGGTGGCCCGTCACATTCAGGCCCGGGGCAGGGGATACCGTGACGAAAACAGCTGCCTTCACGGAGCTCTGAGTTGGCATCCTTTGGGCCTCAGAGGGGGGCTCCCGCCGCGGGCTGCCCGTGAGCCCAGGGCCACCCCAGGACGTGGTTAGGTTAGGTGCTGCTGCTGCCGCCAGGACCAGAACGTGGTGGCGGCCTGCTTGAGTGACCGTGGCAGTGGGGTTTTCCTCGTCCTCACCGGCAGGACACCCCGGCCACGAGGTTCTGTCTGTGGCTAGGCTTGCGGTGGTAGGCTTGTCCCCCGGCAGCGTGGGCTTCTCCGCGAGCACAGAGATGCTGCCGCAGCCCAAACTGGGCTCCTGCCTGCCCGCCTCGGCTGCGGAGGGCCCGCGGCTGTGGGGTCTCGTCACCCACGGGATATGAGGCTGTAGAACAAGGTTTTTCTTTTTAAGAAAAAGGGTACAGTTAATTTTCCCATTATTATAAGTGAAACACATAGCTACTTGTTTTTTTGTTTTTTGTTTTTTTTTTATTTCTAGGAGAGAGAGAGAAAGACAGACACAGCGTGAGCAGGGGAGGGTCAGAGAGAGAGGGAGATACAGAATCTGAAACAGGCTCCAGGCTCTGAGCTAGCTGTCAGCACAGAGCCTGACGCGGGGCTCGAACCCACAAACCGCGAGATCATGACCTAAGCGAAAGTCGGACGCTTAACCGACTAAGCCACCCAGGCGCCCCGTTATTTGTTTACTTTATTGAAAAATACAGATACCGTTTGGAGGAAAATAAAATTTTAGTCACCCTGTTGGGCCACCATCCAGAGAAAACCTTTGCTGACCTCTTTTCATATACAGCATCTGTGATACTTCCCTCCAGATGTTTCATCTGGGAATTTAAAAAATTGTTACGTTGAACACACCAAAGTCTGTTTCTTAACATGTGGGAAGTCATAAATTTGCTACCATATGTCTGACCCTTGAAAACATTATGCTAAATGAAAGCAGCCAGTCACAAAAGACTACAAATGTCATTGCATTTCTAGGAAATGTCCAGAGGAGGTGAGTCCAGGGAGTCAGTCAGTGGACTGGTGTGGCCAGGGGCTGGAGAGGGGTGGGGGAAATGGGGGACAGTGAGGTTTCTTTTTAAGGTGATGGAAATACTCTAATATTGATTGTGCTGTTTGTTACACAGCGTGGTGCAAGTGCTGAGCCACTGAACGGTGCACTGCAGATGGGTGAATTGGGTGGCATGTCACTTCTGTCTCAATAGCGCGGTTATTAAAAAGTACAAAGGAGAACCACAGTGAGATACTGCCTCACACCTATTTACAACCAGAACGGTCTGTTGAGTGTCCAACTTCAGCTCAGGTCGTTATCTCGTGGTTCGTGAGTTCGAGCCCCACATCAGGCTCTGTGGTGACAGTGTAGAGTCTGCTTGGGATTTGCTCTCTCTGCCCCTCCCCTGCTCACGCACACACACATGGATCTCTCTAAAAATTTTTAAAAATGAATTAATACATGATCCAATAGCTTTCCTTCTAGATATATATCCAGAAGGATTAAAAGCAGAGACTTAAGCAGATAGTTTTGTACCATGTTTCCAGAAGTATCATTCCCAGTAGCTGGAAGGGGGAAGTAGCCCGAGCATGATGGACGGACGGATGGATAAACAGGTGCAGTCAATACATACGATGCAGTATTGTTTGTTCATCCTTAAAAAGAAAGTAAATTCTGACTCCTGCTGTATAACATGAATGAACCTTAGGAACGTTATGTTAAGTAAGCGAGTCACAGAAGAACAAATACCATATGATTCACTTAACATGTGGTTCCTAAGGTTGTCAATTTCACAGACACACAAAGTAGAAGTGGGGTGGGTGCTGGGAGCTGTGGTTTAATGAGGATGAAGTTGTCGTTTTGCAGGATGAAGCTGTTATGGACACTGCTTGCACAGCAGTGTGACCTAACACTACTGACCTGTACACCTACTGATGGGTAGGACGGGACGTTTCACGCGTATTCCATGTGGTCTGAAGGCAGTTACTAACCCTGTGTGCTCACTGCTCAACCCAAGAGTGGAAAACGAGCGTTATCCTGGCCCCCATGTTCCTTCCCACAGGCAGAGGCCAGCTTGCTCCTGAATTGTCCTTCCCTTGCTTGGCTTCCTAGTTACCACACTTGAAACCGTTGCTAAATACCGGACCCTTGGTTCCGTGTGCTTCTGAATGTGTATGTTTGCCTACAGGTGCTCTGGATCTGCTCTCCCCTCCCCTTTGCTTTGCAGGGGAGGCTTCAGCTGCATGTCCAGTTTCCCTCCCCTGGAGAAACAGCTCGATGTGTCCATCCCTTCCCATCAGTTTTGCTCTTCTCAGACAGTGCTGCTCGGAACAGTTTTGCACAGCTCTGACTCTTGGGGAGGTACCAGACTTTGGGGATCCCATGCTTGAGACTACTTCTGTAATGTCCGTTTCCCCTGAGAATAGTTGCCCGATGGTGCAGGGGACCCCGGGGCCACATGCTGGCAGGCTGCCAGATGCACAGAGAAGGTGCCCACATACGCAGAATGGAGTTTATCGGGTTGCATCATTACGGCCACCTTCTCACTACGAAGCCAGTGTTCCCAGGGCATTCCTCTGATGCCAGTGCAGCTTCAGAGGAGGGTGGAGGGTCTCAGGCCTACTCTGGTGGAAGGCGGAGGGAGGGAGGCAGATTCAAGAGCCCTGGTCACAAGTGCCCATGACCCTGAGGCCACATCCACAGCAGCCACCCAGCTCAGATGGGTTGATGCTCTGCTCCCCAGGCAAGTGAAGGGCTTGATGTGCACATTCATGTGAGCACTGGCAGGGGTGTGTAGGAGCATAACCCTTACCCTGTGGTAAGTACCACGGAGTATGCTAAACTCAAAAGGTTCAGAAGCCATTTGGTAAACGGGACTCTCCTTTCTTTCCCGAGCCCCTCCATGCCCCTCCCCAAGTGATAGAATTCTCAGGTCCTTGTATTTCCGGAAGTGCTGCGTGGAAAAGCAAACATGTCCACTGCAGATTGCACACCCTACTCACTATTTTGGACTTGGCCTTTTTCACCCATCTCTTAACTTTTCCTTCATTGCTCTTTCTCTCTCATGCTCTTTTTTTTTTTTTACCTGAACTCTTTATTAGGGACTCTTACTGGTCATTTCACACCTGCCATGGGAGGCGCCAATATTGTCCCTTTGGAAGCCCCAAAGACTCCCAGTTGGCTATTTTTTTTTTTTAATGTTTACTTATTTTTGGTAGACAGAATACAAGCAGGAGAGAAGAGACAGAGACAGAATCTGATGCAGACTCCAGGCTCTGAGCTGTCAGCATAGAGCCGGATGTGGGTCTTGAACCCATAGACTGTGAGATCATGACTGGAGCCTATGGCCGGGCAGCTCTTAACACCTACATTCATGGCCACATAGGGCACCCCAAGCCATGGAGCAGGTGGAAGGAGTAGATGTTGAGTACTTGATGCGGTGGCCTCTAACAGTTGGGGGCCCCGACGTGCGTGCATGTGCGTGTCTGTGCATGCACGTGTATGTGCATATGCGCGCTGTACCTTACCGTCTCCTTGTATATCCTGGAAATCTACTTCTCCAGACTTCAGATTACACCCTTTCCCAATGAAACAATCCTTTCCTGAGTTTGGGCCTCGTGGTTTGGCTTTGAGAGGATTCAAGAGGGTCAGGGTAGCGGCATAGGCACCACCCGCTGGGCCGGCCTCGGAGGCTGCCTTGTTTGCAGGCTCCTGGGAGGTTACTTCAATGTGGCTTGTGCTCTTTTGTTTTACCCTGTGGGTGGCTGGTGATGGGTAGGAGTGGGGTGGCCACAGAGAGCCGTGGGGGCTTCAGGGAGCCACCGCGCTTTGGCCGACCTGCGTGTGTGTCCTGGGGGAGCATACCCGCGTCCACACACAAGTCTGAGCTGTGGTGTTTGCGACTGCCAGCAGCCGGAGGCCAGAGGGTGGACAGCCGCCCATGTCCACTCACTGTGGTCCCTGTGCTGTTGGGCCTGGAGCAGGGCACACGTGACAGCAGCCGTGAGACAGGAACCTGGAGGGTGCTGGCCTCTCACTGTCAGGCTGGAGGGTACCTAGGGATGCACCTGCTCCTCCGTGTCCACAGAGGACAGGAGAGCCCCGAGCCCACTGTGCTGCCCCTGCGCTGGGGAAAGGCAGGCGGCGTGGACGGGGATGCCGGCCGGGCTCGTGGAAGCTGGGGGAGGGCGAGGTGGGATCTGCCTGCTGATGTGTCTCCAGAATGGAGCAGTGTGTTCTAGATCGGTGGGGCTTCAACAGACATTTTCTTATGAGTACTTTACAGTACTTTTACAGTACTTTTTCCCACAGTCGGCTGGGCAGAGAGGGCACTGTACTGAGGTCGAGTTGGGTTTGGGCAGGAACATTCTAGAATCCCAATCTTGACACCCACGCTTGGCTTTGAATGTTCTAGAGGAACTTTGTGGCCAGAAAGGCATCCCTGGCCTCACTTTGATAGCGGTCACACGCGGCCTTGGAAGTGCCTCCTCCTCACAACTCGAAAATGTGCGGGAAGTCTCTGGGCTTCCTGGGACCAGGTCCTCTCCCTCCCCCTGCCCGCGCTGGCGCCGTCCGCCCCTTCCCAGTGACCTGTCCGGCCAGCTGGAAACCCTGACGCTCAGGTTTGCTGGTTTCCTAACTGGCTTCTAAAGCACACATCCTGGGGCGTCTGGGTGGCTCAGTGGGTTGAGCAAATGCCTTTAGGTCAGGTCATCATCACACATTCCGTGGGTTTGAGCCCTGTGTCGGGCTCTGTGCTGACAGCTTGGAGCCTGGAGCCTCCTTTGGATTCTGTGTCTCCCTCTCTCTCTGCCCCTCCCCCGCTCACTCTGTCTCTCAAATTAAAATGACATTTAAAAAAAATTTTTTTAAATAAACAAAGTGCCGCGTCTTGCCTGCGAGGAAAGGCCAAAACAAGCACCATCTCCCCCTGAGCGAAAACCAAGTGGAGGCCTCCGAAAGGAAAACCCCACTTTTCCTGTTTTGTCAACTTCCAGGAGATTCTTGTGGAAACAGCTCATTAACTGATCCTGGAGAGGCAGCCCTGACTACTAGTGAGCGGCCGTGGCAACGTCCCGTGTTGAGGCGGCTTCTTGTCCGACCCCCAGGGAACGACTTCTCCCTAGTGCACACCATTTAATTAGGGCCTGTGATTTAATTAGGAGGCTTCCTTGAGCCCAGCTTAATTACAGTTACCTTTTCACGATAAAGAGTTCCCTATGCCCGAGTCCCAGTCAGTGCCTTTTGCTAAAGTGGTTCCCACCTGGGAACGGAGGCCCCTCCTGGAGGATGCCCTTCCCCCTGCCTTTGGCGGCACAGTCAGCCCATTGCCAGCGACTTTTCCTTTCCTTTTTTTTTTTTTTAATTTCTTTTTTGAGAGAGAGAGAGTACAAGCAGGGGGAGGGGCGGAGAGAGAGGGAGACGTGGAATCGAAAGCAGGCTCCAGGCTCTGAGCTGTTAGCACAGAGCCCAAGGCGGGGCTTGAACTCATGGACCTCGAGATCATGACCTGAGCTGAAGTCGGTTACTCAACCGAGTGAGCCACCCAGATGCCCCTAAGTGACTTTTCCTTTCTGATGTGACCACAGGAGAGTATTGATCAGGCATTTTCCTAACAGAGCGAAACCGCCTCTTAGGTTTGCTTATTTGTGGCTGAAAGTTTCTACTGCGCTGAATCCTGCCTGGGAGTACTAAGTGGAAGGAGTGCTCAGGGGTCTGTCTCTGTCCTTTGTCCTTGAAGTGTGCCCGTGACAAACCTAACACGTAATTGCTTTCATCTCTGAGGGAGGCTAGGACCTGGAAGTCCTGGGGGTGACCTTGTTTTCAGAGCCGCTGAGGCATGTGTGAGAGGGGCTCTGCACTGCCTATAATAGGGGTTAAGTGACTTGATCCAGCCTCGAGCCATGTCTAGCAGTGTCCCCTTCAGAGCCTGGTATAAAGAAGGCTTTTTACCAGATGAACAGAGAACACAAAACTAGGAGAAACAGTATATGCTGGACGGCAGTGTGGAGATTTGGAAAGATCGGGACAGGCTGAAGCAAGCCAAATGGAAATGACAAGGTCTATATTTAGGTTTGCCCATCAGGGGTGTGGAAAGACTCTGACTTGGATGCGAAGTCTGCACTGGAGGGGCCTCACGTAGGATCCCGAAACTGCCAGTGATGCCCCGTGGCCCATGGCCACAGCCAGCTCTCTGGCCCCGATCTAGAGCTGAGTCGTCGTAAGCCTCCAGATCTGTCTCTGCTGGTGACGTCAGGTGGCCTGTCCCTAGTCCAGGGAAGTTGGATCAGCTCAGCCCCTCGAAGTGGGTCTTTGTGAACAGTGTTTCTATGTGAATGAGAGGAGCGTTTATTGGCAGTAAATACCAAGTCCCCGAGGAGCAGGGTCAGCATGGGCCAGGACACCGGGGGACCTTTGTGTCATCCATACCCTGAAGTTCAGAGTCACTGTGAAGGGTGTTGGGGGCTTTGTGCAGCTTGCCCTCTGCTGACAGCCGGAGTTGTTTTGTTCTCCATCACCCCAGGCCAAGACGACCCTGTCTATCTTTTGTTCCGCAGGACAGGGATGACTCCTTTTGAACTTCGCAAAGGGCAGTGTCTGCCATTATTGGTCTCGGGTTGTTGGTTCCCATCAAAGAATCCTCCTGCAGTCGCTCTGAGAAACCAAGAGCGTGTTTCATTCTGCCGGCCTTGGGCCTGTGTGCTGATGTGATTCTGGGTTGAAACCGTTCTTTCTTCCGTGGGGCTCCTTTGGGAACTCAGGGCTGTCCCCTGCCTTAGGCCGTCCCCAGGCCTGGTGCACGTTATAGGCTGTCGATCCGGGTGCCCCTTTGTTCCTGTGTCTTCCTACATTTCTCTAGTAATCATTCTCTCAGAAAAATCCAACACTTTACCATCTTGTGTATTGGGTTCCAAGGAGGATAAACGTGTAAGTGCGGTGTGGGGGGCCCTGAGGGGCGCGGGCTGAGCTGAGCGAGGCCCACACCCCAGGCACGGACCTCTGCCCGGTGCCCCAGCACCGACATGCGTGGACGCGTCCCCCCCTGACCGTCTTCTTTGTCTCCCCCGCCCCAAGGGTGAGCTTGTCGGCCACAGACTGTTACATCGTGCACGAGATCTACAGTGGGGAGAATGCCCAAGACCAGTTTGAGTACGAGCTGGAGCAGGCCCTGGAAGCCCAGTACAAGTACATCGTGATCGAGCCCACGCGCATCGGCGACGAGACCGCCCGCTGGATCACCGTGGGCAACTGCCTGCACAAGACCGCCGTGCTGGCGGGCGCCGCCTGCCTCTGCAGCCCGCTGGCGCTGCCCCCGGAGTATTCCCACTACATCTCCCTGCCCGCGGGCGTGCTCAGCCTGGCCTGCTGTGCCCTCTACGGCATCTCCTGGCAGTTCGACCCCTGCTGCAAGTACCAGGTGGAGTACGACGCCTACAGACTGTCCCGCCTGCCCCTGCACACACTCACCTCGTCCACGCCGGTGGTGCTGGTCCGGAAGGACGACCTGCACAGAAAGAGACTGCACAACACGATAGCGCTCGCCGCCCTGGTGTACTGTGTAAAGAAGATTTACGAACTCTGTGCCGTATGATTTCAGTACAGCGGGGAGAGGAGCAGTCGGCCCGGCCCATGAGACACAGCAGAGTACTCAGATTGCCACCGCAACAGGTTTCTGCTCTGTGAGGCGGCAGCGGAGCCTGGGAAGCTGTTTGGTTTAATATTTGTTATTTTAAAAAAATAACAGGTCACAGGCGTACCGAGGGGTTTTCAACTCATTACACTAAGATGTGGATTTCCATAACCCGCAGGGGGTCTGAGCTGTGGAAGTCTGGGAAGACCGGGCGGTGCGGTGTGGACGGCAGTGAGGCTACTGAGGGGGTGTGAATGCGCTTGCGGGGTGGGGGGGAGGTCCTTAAGTATATTGTTTAACTGTACCATCCAGAGCCAACCAGAAGCTATTGACCATTAAAATTATGAGAATTTCAACCTCGGGTGTCTTCTCTTTCTGTGACTGCCTGCAGCTGCTGCCCAAGGTCTGCCCTGGGTGGTAGCTCACCCGGGGCAGCAGTGGGCGCCTGGTGTCACCACCTGCAGCAAGTACGGGCCTTTGACCAGGGCAGGCCAGGACCCCTCCCAGAGCAGTCTCCCATCTGACCGTGGCCTTGTGCTCAAGGCCAGCACTGCTCAACGCTGTCTGGGACATGGTAGGATCAGGTGATGAGGTCGAGAGGTCACTGGGTCTCTTCCATGTGGGTCCACGTGGAGAACTGGGGCCTGAGACCCCCTGGCCAGAGCTCCTGATTTCGAAGGACACACAAATGAGCATTTGTATTTTTTTCAGAGCATCAAGTGGTTCCTGAGGTGGTGCCTGAGGTCAAGCCCACTGCCTTAGGCTGAGAAGCACCATCACATCAGCGCCTCTCTGGGGATCCCACTCCACAGCGGTCAGGGCCCGTGTCCCCTCAGAGCAAAGGGCAGATTGCACGCCATCCTCCACGTCCCTCTCAGGTTTTGGATAAATGGAAAGTCAACCCTCCCACCAAGGTGTCGAGTTCCCCTGCCTTAACAGCCTTCCTAAGACCTGCTCTCAGTCCTCCCTGAAGAGCTACACTGTTCTTCTTTCTGAAGGGCCCATCTTAAGAGGGAACCTAGCTTTAAAGGCTCCATCAGGAAGATCAGATAACAGAGAATAATGAAAGGTGCATGCAAAGGTGTCCAGAGCTCAAAGGGGGTGACTGGGCCATTTCTTATAAGGGAGATCCAGAGCTAAAAGATTTCAGAAAGGACCATCCATCGTCCACAAAGAGTTTGAAAAACTAATCCAAGGGGCCTAGAGGTACTAACCACTCCTTTGGATGCTGGGTGGCAGTCGGTGTCGGGCACACACTTGTTCACATGGCAGTCTGGCCCTCCGGAGCGAGGAGAAGTGGGTTGCGATCCCAGACAGACACATCGGTGTCAGGTGTTCGGGTGCCCGTGATGCCTTGGGTGTCTGACTGCCGGCTCCCCAGCCTGCTGGGCCGGAATGGTAGGTGTTCTTGTAATAAGCTGCCCAGGTTTGGAAAGGGAGCCCCACGCTCTGCCCGCACATCAGATTTCCTGGTGGGGGTGGGGAGAGGCTAGAAGTAGACTCACAGCAGCCGTCTCGGGGAAAGGGGGCTCAGCTGAGCAGACGCCCTCACCAGGAATAGAAACCAAGTGCAAACAGGCTGCCTGTGGCTGCACTCCACAAGGTGATTTTTGTCAGGTGGACTGGCCCAGATTCCGAGATGCCACTTCAGTTGCAGGTCTCATGCCAAGGTGGGGAGTCGGTGCTGCTGGGAGCACGGGGCAGGAGTTTCGCGTTCCAGGCCTCCGCGTGAGCGGCGTCCCGAATGGGCTGGGAAGGGGGTGGCACGATCACACCTCCGGCGCCTGGAAGGACTTCCCTCCCGTGGGTGCTGGCTTCTCGGTTCCTGCCGCCTTCTTAGAAATCGCTGACAAGTGGGTTCTGCTCCTCCGTGACATGCCACCATGCTCTGGAAGGAACAGCAATTTTTAAATCACTGCCAACAGAAACAAAGGCCAAGTCGGCTGGGCCCTTCTCGGCGAGGTCCACACGAGTCCCGTGCGTGCCATTTCAGTGACTGCATCGTGCCATTACCCGAATCACAGGAGTCCTGTTGGAACTGCCCCCGCTCTCACCCCGGTTTCAGAGAAGAGCAAAGGGCCTTTGTAAAGGTCACCTCCTCAAGAGTGCGGGGGACAGACCCTGGCCAGCGCTGACAGCCCCTCCCGTCAGTCTCTCGGTGCCCTCCTAAGTGTTCACATCTGGTCCAGCAGCTGTCAGGCCCTGGTGCAGAGAGGGAGGGAGACCCCTCCGTGGGGCGTGTGGGGAGCCGGGCAGGGCGCCCAGGCAGCTGCGCGCTCGCTCCTCCACCGGAGCCCGCGTGAGCTGCGGCCATCAGCAGGGCACGGCTGTGCGGCGCTGCCGTCTGGAAATCCACTTGGTTGTACTTTCCACGCTCTTGACTCGGGCATGAAACACAGGCGTGCCTGCTGCCCTCGGACCAGTGAAACACCAGGAGACCTAAAGAAGAAAGTGGAAAGTGCCTTTGAACTTCATCTGCAGGCAGAAGCAATCCAGAATTGAGCTTTTCATCCACAGCCCCAGTCCCAGGATGAGAGAGGGGAGAACACAGCTTTGAGCACAGAAAGGAGAAACTGGAACATCACCACCAACCCCACCCCTGGTGGCAGACATTCGTATTCAGACATCGGTCTGAAAGCAAGAGTGACATCATCAGGGAAATACAAATCAAAACCACAATGAGATACCACTTCACACCTGTCAAATGGCTACAATGAACCAACTCAAGCAACGAAAGATGTTGGCGAGGATGTGGAGAAAGAGGAACCCTTTTGCACCGCTGGTGGGAATGCAAACTGGTGCAGCCCCTTTGGAAAACAGTATGGAGGTTCCTCAAAAAATTAAAAATAGGACTACCCTGCAACCCAGCAATTGAACTACTAGGAATACATCCAAAGGAGACAGGAGTGCTGATTCGAAGGGGGCACATGCACCCCAGTGTTTATAGCAGTACTACCAACAGTAGCCAGTATGGAAAGAACCCAAATGTCGACTGACTGATGCATGGATAAAGAAGATGTGGTATATATATTCAATGGAATATTACTCAGAGATTAAAAAGAATGAAATCTTGCCATTTGCAACAACCTAGATGGAACTAGAGTGTATTGTGCTAAGCAAAATAAGTCAGAGAAAAGACAAATAATCATGATTTCACTCATGTGGAATTTAAAATACACAGATGAACGTAAGAAAAAAATAATATGCAAACAGAGAGGGAGACAAAGCATAAGGGACTCTTAAATACAGAGAACAAACTGAGGGTTGCTGGCCAGGCATCGGGTGGGGGGATGGGCTAAATGAGTGATGGGTACTAAGGAGGGCACGCGTTGGAAGGAGGGCCGGGTGTTATATGTACGTGATGAACCACTAGATTCCATCCCTGAAATCGCTAGTACACTATATGTTAACTAACTTGGATCTAAATTTTTAAAAAATTTGTAAAAAGAGATGCCAAGGTGGGGTCCTGGCCCCCAGAGAAGGGCTGTGGCCACCATTCCAGTTGAGACAGCAAGCTCCGCCTTTACCAGGCAGTGCTCTGTCCAGGGAGCCACGCCCAACTCCAGAGGCCCCCAGCGTCTTCTTGTGCCACATATGGATCCTGAAGAACCCTGAGTTGCTGGCCCTTTAGTCCTCTTCGTAGTTTCTAAGGCTGGAGAGAGCATCTGTGTGGTGCGAGCACATCTTCAATACCTCTCTGATCTTGCCAACCTTCTCAAGAGCGGCCGGGCCTCAGCCTCAGCCTTTGGCAGACAGCCGGATCCAGCGAGAGTAATGGTTGTTTCTGTTACGTTATCCGCTATTCGTACGGTAGAATACAAAGTTTCTAAAGTAAGTTTTAGAAAGTGAGTTGAGTTTTATTTTATTTATTATTATTATTTTTTTAATGTTTTATTTATTTCTAGGAGAGAGAGAGACAGCGTGAGCAGGGGAGGGTCAGAGAGAGAGTCACAGACTGAAACAGGTTCCAGGCTCTGAGCTGGCAGTCAGCACAGAGCCCGACGCGGGGCTCGAACCCACGAACCGCGAGATCATGACCTAAGCGAAAGTCGGACGCTTAAGTGACTAAGCCACCCAGGCGCCCCGTGAGTTGAGTTTTAAAAAATGTGCGGTAAATACACATCCAGTGGTTTGGGCTTTGGCTCAAGTGTCATGTCTAGGTTGAGACCCTAATGTCTGCTCTAAGTTCTGTGTGCCTGGCTGCACCCCAGTCAGGGCTTGGGGGCTCCCAGCCACTATCACAGTGGCCGCCAAGTGCGTTTGATGCCATCTTTTGATGATGGACCGTGTGGCTGCTAACCGTGTGCTTGTCTGAGGGCAGCAGATCACACAGGCCTCCAGGTGCTGCCCATTATGTTTCTCAGAGAGAAAAGGGCAGCACCTGGATATGGGCCCTGCTGAAAGTGCCCGTCAACAAGTGTCCAAGGAGAGATGTTCTCTAGTTCCCATTTAGAGGAACAGCTTTCTCTGTCACTGCCTTTTCCTGAGCACCTGCTATGCAGTTAGCCATTTATTTCAACGCTAGGCTTTGGAGTAGCTGCTACTGCTGCCTTGGGCCCAGCTCCTCCCTGGCTTTAACAGCCCTGATGTGAACAGGAAGGTCTTTCTCTTCTGTGTCAGGAGGGACGTAGATGGTTTATTTGGAAGATGAGGAGCCAACCCGTGTGTCTATATCCACATTTCAACCAGGGGCCCTTCAAATATTCAGGCCATGGGGGGAGTGGGGGAAGATCACCAGACCCAGTGCCCCACTCCTCACCCTCCTGGCTCCCAGGAAACTTGACGGCCTTAAACACTAACCATAGGCTGTGGCTTCGGCCGTTTTTACTTCAGGGATAGCTTTTAAAATACAGGCTCCATAGGACCAGAGTTGGGATACAATGCAAGATGCCTGTATGACGTGCAAGATATTTATTCCAAGTTGGGAAAGCCATACAGTGCACCCAAAATTTCCACTTTCAGCCTCAGTAACAAGAAAAGTTTCATCCTTAACTTTAGATATGAAGTGGACTCACTCACTGAGCCTCAACCATGTATTTTTAAGAAACCAGCAAGGTGGAAGCAGGCATCCAAAAGGCACAGCTAGCAAATGACTGCTCTCTCCAGGGACCAGGTGCCGCTTTAGAATTCCTCCCCACCTGACCAGGCTTCTGACCTCTTTCCTAGAGAGTACACGGGACCATGCAGGGCTTTCCTCTCCCTTTTGCCTGTTGTTTCCTTAACAGATTCGTCTTGTGCTTGGAGTGGGGCCTGGCCTACAGGGCATCAGGTGAGAGTCACGGGGAAACCAGAAAATTCCTTTCAGGTACCAAAGCCAGCATCACTTGGGTTATGCTGAAAGACGGAAGATGTATTAGTGCACTGGTCATGTTGGACGACGGACTGTAGGGCCCTGAAAATGGATGTGGATGATGGCCTCTTATGACAGCCTGCCACAAGTGACTCTGCCAAAACAGTTAGGTACGTGGTACAGATACGTCAAACCTGAGAACTGGGTCAGGTGATGTCAGGATGTCTTCGGTCTTCAAGACAGACACACTGTCTAGGAGCTGGCGGAGGCTGGAACTCAAAGGAGGCATGACGCTTCCAGCCCTTGAGGACTACAGATCTTACTGCTCATTCATTTATTTCAGATTCTTAGTTTAAACTCCGCTCCCCATTTGTTCCGTAAGGTTCACCCCTCACCCCGGGAAGAAGGTTAGCAGAGGCCTAGCCAGGGATCCTCAGGACAAGCATCTGTTCCATCTTCCCCACCCATGAGACAAACATCCAGTAAAGTCTCAACACACACAGCTGGCCCCCATGGAGCAGCTGCACCCAGGAGGCGCTGCTTCCCTATCCCAGCTCGCACGCACAACTAGGAGTTCTTGGATTTCCGCTGCTTTCTGGCCCTGGAGGCCATGAGGCTGAAGAAGAGCCCAGGAGCCAGAGTTCGCAGATAAATGGCCAAGGAAGGCAACAGCTCGGCCAGGATCACATCTTTCTTTTTCTTCCCCACCGCGTCCAGGACATCTCGGGCCACCTCCACAGGGTTTCGGCCTTGGGCCGTGGTCTTGTCCATAACTAAAGTAAACAAAATAAAAGAAACACATGAACTTAGAAGCAGAAGTCTCTTTGCAGGACTTGAGCTGACATGAACCGATGTCGGCTGGGCTTGCTGAATTTCCCATCACGAAGCTCCTGCCACAGTCTGTCGGGGGGCAAGGGGTTTGCCACCATCCCTGACTACTCTGGGCTCCAAAGAAATGCGGAAGCCGTCCGAGCTTACTGTGTGTGAGCAGGGAGAAGGGGACTGTGGGTGAGACGTGGGAACGAGGTAGACGGGTGACCCTGTAAGTGCTTAGAACTGGTGGCTCAGGACAAAGGACAAAGGCCAGCCCAGATGGGGTCTCAAGGGGCGCTGACACACACCAATCTTCTTCCTTGGGAACTGGTGTCTATTGGGACACACAGCCAAGGGTGCTGCAGCTGGCTTGTCTTGGGTAGCTTGGCTTGAGGTCTGCCGGAGGGGGGATGGGAGGAGACTACGACCCCTCACGTTCACGACAACCTGGCTGGACTGAGAGTGACGTGAGTCAGGAAGAGACATCCCAGTCCCCACATCATGTGGTAACTGGATAAGGGACAGGAAGAAATCCTAGGTTTGTTTAAGGTGTTAGAGACAGCTGCAGGGAGTTACGAGGTGTGAGGCTGGTTAACACCAACTGATGGTCCTTCTTTCCTAGTAATGTCACAAGCTGGCCGACCAAGTAGAACCAGTTGGCAGGCGGAGAGGAGAGGCCACTGGCTTAGACCATTTGAAACCATTTGCAAGCTGTCCAAAGTGCATGAGCTTCCTCACCGATACCTGCTTTCATTCTGTTTTTGTTAACAGAGAAGTATTTTCTGATCGTTGCTTATTTTTAAATGCCAAGGAGAGAAGTTTTTAACAAATATTCTTCTAGGAGTGACTGGGTGACTCAGTTGGTTAAGCATCTGACCTCGGCTCAGGTCATGATCTTGCAGTTCGCAAGTTCGATCACTGGATTGGGCTCTCTGCTGTCACTGCAGAGCCTGCTTCAGTTCCTCTGTCCCCTCCTCTCGCTTTAGATCCTCTGTCCTTCCCCTGCTTGCTCTCTCTCTCTCCTCTCAAAAACACTTTTTAAAAAAGATTCCACTAGGTATAAATAAGAACAAACATCTCTAGATTATGCTTCTATACGGTTTCTCTTGGCTTGCTGAGTGAGTGCCTTTGCAGGGCACGAGCAGTGCTGGTTCAGGTCTGGCTTGGGTGAGGCACCGCAACAGGAGTCCCTCGGTTAACATCATAGCACAGGCCCAAGAGGTCACATCCAGGGAGGCAGGACATGGCAGGTCAGTACTTAAGAGGTGAGCAGGCCCCACGCAGGTGTGGGAAAGCAAGTCAGCTCCCACAGCAAGAGCACGCATGGGTCAACTGGTCCGGGGGGCTGGCCTGAGCCTGCATGCTGGGGCCAGGCCGTTCAGCCCACTCGTGGTGACTGCAGGTCAGCTCACCATGTCTTTGGCCGAGGCAAGATGGAGATTCTGAGACTGGTGCACTCAGCGTCCCCCCAGAAGACAGTGCTCCTTCCTTGGAGTATCCTGAAATCAGTCATTTCTCAAGCACACTGAGTGGGGAATCTTTGGGTCAAGCAACCCATACTTTCCATGAGATTATTGCACTTTACTTGTACTTTAGTTCACTGAGAAAGGGTTAGCATGAAGTCTGAAAGCATTTCAGCTTGGCCCTCAAAGTCGTGTAAGGGACCGAGTCCTGGCCAACAGGGACCCTGTTCCAACAACTACAATGGTGAGGCTCAGGCTAAGGACGGCTCATGGTAACTGACCATTATTCAACAGTATATACAACCAACACCCATACATCAAGGTTTTTAGTTTTAAAAATTACATTCCAGGGGCGCCTGAGGGGCTCCATTGGTTTAGCTCAGGTCATGATCTCGACTTTGACTCAGGTCATGATCTCGAGTTTCCTGAGTTTGCTCCTTGTGGCAGCTGAGGGACTCTGGGGACACAAAGGAGCAATGCTACTGGGTGACAGACACCTGCGGGACCTGTGAATCTGGCCTCCAAGGGCATCGCAGTTTAAACAAAATCACAGGGCGCCTGGGTGGCTTAGTTGGTTGAGTGTCTGATCTTGGCTCAGGTCGTGATCTCACAGTTCGTGAGTTCAAGCCTCACCTCGGGCTCTGTGCTGACAGCTCAGAGCCTGGAGCCTGCTTTGGATTCTGTGACTCCTCTTTCTGCCCCTCCCCTGCTCACACTTTGTCTTTCTCTCTCAAAAAGATATAAACATTAAAAAAATTCTAAAATATATATGTATACCAGGGGCACCTGGGTGGTTCCGGAAGTTAAGTGCCCTACTCTTGGTTTAGGTTCAGGTCATGATTTCATGGTTCGTGGTATGGAGCCCTGTGTTGGGCTCTGTACTGACAGCATGGAGCCTACTTGGGATTCTCTCTCTCTCTCTCTCTCTCTCTCCCCCCTTCCCCCCCACTCATTCTCTCTCTCTCAAAATAAATAAATAAACTTAAAAAATTATATTCCAAATGAAGATAACCAAAGAATTATCGGGTGGCCATCTCACTACGGCCAGCCAACAGCTTTCCGTGGAAGAAAAGACAAACCAGGGCCTCACCTCCATATTTGGACCCATCAGCAGTGACGGCATTTACAGAGAGGTTGGTGTGGATGTAGCCGGGGCTGATGACAGTCACCTCAATCTCATACTGTTCCATCTCAGCACGAAGACAGTCAAAGAATGCCTGGGTTGCATGTTTCGAGGCCGCATCTGCAAAGGTTTGTGGCCAGAGATGCAGGTGAGGGAGAGGGTCTGGGACAGGCCCACGTATTCATTCCCATTCATTTGCCTTTATTTAAAAACTGATATTACAATTTCAGATTATAGTATTATGGCAATGTTCATTTCCTGATTTGGGGAAGTGCAGTATATCCGTGTTCTTAGGAAATTCCCTGAACTGTGTAGGAGTAAAGGAGCCACATGTCTCCAATCCTTTCAAATGATTTCAGAAAATAAATAAATAAATAAATCTAATACACATGCTCATGCATACACACAACACACACTGAATATGATAAAGCAAATGTGGTCAAATGGTAACAACTGGGGAATCTATATGAAGGTGACATGGGAGCTCCTTGTATTATTCCTGCAACCTTTCTTTAAGTCTGAAATTATTCTAATGTTAAGAGTTAAAATATATATATAACACAACTTAAGGCCTAAGGAGTAGAACATTCAAGTGGGACAGAGGATTTAAGAGTGAAAGTCTTCCTTCTGTCTTCTAATTCCATTCTCCAGACGTAACCTATGCTAACAGTTTCTCAGCGTTTACTTTTTAGGTACTCTATGTACATATACGTGATTTTACACGTAAGTAATTTTTTTTTTTTTTTTTTTTTTAACAGAAGTGAGCTCTACTGTTTCTATTGTTCCTGCCAGTAGCTTTGTCCCCCTGGTGACACAGGGGGGACAGCCTCGGTGGCAGCCGTGCAGGCCGGCCATGCTCTCCGTGGGCCACCAGACCATAGAACCGGCACCATCAGTGGCACTTGACGCGCTGTCTCCAGGTCTCGTCACTGGAACAGAGCTACCAGTGGGCCTCCTTGCACACATGGGCGTGTTTATAAAATCCATGCTTAGCTTTGTTCTGTATTTTGTTTGATAACCTTCCATGAAGGGCTGTTCACCTGGAAGAGCCATCATCTTGCTGCACTTGGGAGAAATCGAGCCACAGCTGCCCTTCAGCCACAGCTCCACAGTGTGCTGAAAGGTGCTCTGAGGGGGGATACTGTGACCTGACAATGACATTCTTGGGAAACACACAGCATCTCCACCGAAAATCAGTTTCCTCCAATTCAGAGTTCTAAATGGCTTAGTCTTAGGAAAGGAGCATCCAGCAGCCAAAACAACAGGAAGAGAAAAAGCAAGGAAGTGTCCTGGCCAGACACGTGACAGAGTGTGGCGCTGGAACTGACTGCGGCACCTTTCTCAGGCGAGCGCCCTTGGCTTGGGCTGTGCTGCCAGGAGCTGGATGAGGAGTTAGCGGGCAAGTGGGCGGAGAGAGCTGTGCTCTCAGGGGTACATCCCAGGCCCAAGGACAGAGAAGAGTCACCCTGGGGGCCCCACATGAAGGCTGCACCCTGATGACTAGTCTTGCAGAGTCGCAGGCCGTAGGTCCTCAGCCAGGCTGACTTAGCACCATCACCATGGCTGTCAACAGGGAGCCCCTTCAACCTGCAGGGCACGGGGCTCAACACGCCCCCCGGATCACCCCTGCAGCAGTGGGAGGCGGGAAAAGCTGCTCTCCCATTTTACAGTTAAAAAGATTGCTGCTCTCCAGGATTAGCCAACATGCCCAGTGCACCGCCACATCAAGCCTGGGCGTTATAAAGCACCCAACCCAACTTGGGGGCCTATTGTGGCCACACGCAAGTGGAGAACAAAATTCAGGGAGATTAAATCAGAGTACAGTTTGTAAGTAATTTAGTACACAGAATACTGTATATCCTTTAACCTGATTTACCTGTTATTAACATTTTGCCTCATTTGCTTTATCATTTGTGATTATATTTCTTCCTGAACCATTAGAGCTATCTTAGGGAGCCGTCCTGTGCTGTCGGAGTTGAATGCTGGTGAGCTGGGAGATAACCACAGAAAGAAATGGATGGAGCATGCACAGTTCACTAAGTACTCTGTCTCCGGGTGTCTCGTGTTTAACACAGCCTTGTGCAGTGCGTGCAGGAACTGTCAGTGTCTTCACAAGCAAGGACACGGAGGGTCAGGGAAATTACTTGCCCGAGGACATGCACCTAGAACCACAAGGCAGAGCAGGGGTTCGTGTCTGGAGAGGAAGAGGATGTCGTTGTCACAGCTCTGGTTCGGATGGTGTCCGGCTGGGTGTCTGGTCCCGTCCTGGCAAAGTGCTCACCCGGCTCTGCTCCCCCTCCCTTCACAGCCAAGCGTGCGGCTGCGCCAGGAGGAGGCCCGCACTCGGAGGTGAGAGCAGATGAGGTCAGCACTGACTGCACAGGGCAGAGCAAAGGAAGGAGCTCCGAGGGCAGTCCGTGAAATCACCTTTAAAATCTTTTAGTATAAAAGATCCAGGCTCTGTCTGCTTGCAGGTACAACGTGACGGCAGACAGCAGAATGAAGTGATTATCTCAAAATTCTGGCCCAGTCACTCGTACATGGAGGTGACTGTGCGAACTGGAGGTCAATGTGGCAGTGTTAATTTTCTGGTCCTACTTAATATTTCCAGTTTTTGGAATTTATCTTACTGAAACCCTCCCATGAGTGCCCAGAGATATAAGTATTTAAGGAGGTTCTGTGTAGTACATCACTGCTACTGGTCAAGAACTGAGGGAACATGATCTTCACACATCCAGGAAAATGGCTCAATAGCTCACGTCTTATCAATTCCATGAATTACTACTATATTGTCAAGTGGAATAAGCAACCACAAAAGTGTGTACAGTGTGATTCCATTTCTGTGTGCTTCACCACGCGTTTGATTACACGAATAAAGGTTGGAGGCATATGCCTCAAAGTGACCAAGCAGAAGCACCTGTGTGAGGACGCTGCCCACTGATAACGAGATGGTGGTGAACGTGCGCACGGCCCTGCTGGGCACCGCTCCGACACTTCTCTCTCTGCGCTTGAAGTGAAAGTCAATCTTCCCAGAGGCCCCTCTGCGCTAGGACTGGCCCTGTGGCCTTTCTGCAGATGCAGACTGGGGGTACACTGGGGACACCTGCACAAGGTCATGCGGGGGGGCGGGTGGTGGTGGTAAGGAATGGAGCTGGGATCTGAGGCTAGACCTTCTGCTCAGAGCACATGGATCAGTTCCCTCCACACTCCGTATGGAGTATTTCTCTAGTGTCTGAATTCTGCACACTAAATGTGTTATTTGTATAATCAGGAGAAAACATTACAGAAAAGCATGTGGGAGACAGAGAAGGAAGTACTCACATGCCGATCGGAAAGGAATGCTGATTTTGCCCTGGACGCTGCTGATCGCAACAATGTGGCCTTGTCGCCTTTTGATCATGGAGGGCAGGAGTGCTGAAGAAAGAGCAGAAGTTTAGGGCAGGGCTTTTCCTGTCACCGCAGCTAACACTGACAGGAGGGGGCCTCGCTTATTACATGTAGTCAGAGCCAGGGAGGTGAACAGTGAAGGCTTCTCAATGGGGAGCACCAGGCCTGCTCGGGACTCTCAGGTCTCCTGGGCCCCGCAGACTGCCAGCAGGAGGGAGGAGGCCAGCGAAGGACTGGGAAGGAAGCAAGGAGGGAGGCAGGCAGAAGCCTAATCACTAGGAATAGTCAGCCAGCCCCCTTTACTAGGCGGAGCCTCTCCCCCTGAGTGACACCCATGGCTGGACATAAAAACATCCCCCCTCTGTATGGGTTTCCAAACACCATGAAGAGGGAATGGGGGCACTGCTGTATAACGAAAGCTGTCACTGCGGAGAACGTCTTGATTTAAGGCTATAAAGCAGATAAAGAAAATGCAAGTAAAGCCTGGAGAAAACTAACACCCAAGCTCTAATGACAACACCTATTCCAGCATAAAATAGATGGACACGGGCAATATTTAGCTAAAAAGGGACCAAGTAAAGGAAAAAGGATGCCAACATTATCAGTGCACTTTTTTCTTTTATTTCAGGACTGTTACCTTTTGTTAGAGCAACTGGGCCAAAGTAGTTTGTCTCCATGACTTTCTTATCCACGTCCATGGTAGTGTCCACGATGGTGCCTCGGTAGCTGATGCCAGCATTGTTGATTAGCACATCCACCGAGCCGAAGCACTGCAGGATCTCTGCTGTTGCTGCAACTATGGCCCCAGGGTCTGCGAGGTCAAAGGCCACCGCGTAAGGCTTGTGTGTCTGCACCTGGTCAAATACGACAGAAACCAAATGCACCTTCAGAGTGAGGCAACGTGAACCACACATGTCCCTGCTTTTCAGAGTGCGGGGAGTAGCCCACTGGGCATGACATGACACAGTCTCCAGCACCTGTCTCCAAAGAAGCGTGGCCTGGAGGATCCTGCCTATGGTGCTCACACCTGACCTGGGCAACTTTTACCCTGAATTGAAACTGACTACTGGAGCCAGACTCCCCTTGCTGCCCTGTGCTGGCAGGTGCTGAACAGTGCCATTACATCTCAATAGAGACTCTACCTTCTCAGGTTAAGTCACTTTCCTTCATCTGTTCATGAAACATTTTTAAAAATATATCTTCTATGTGCCAGGCACTGGGCACAGGGCAAAAAGCAAGACAAACATGGGTCCTGTCTTCTAGAAACATACTCATCTAGTGAGGAAGACGGATTCTACAGTTGTAAAGAACGTCATGAAGACGTATAGGATGCCAGAGAAATGAACAACCGAGCAGTCTAACTTGCAGGTCTTCCCAATGGAAGTGAGTTTAACAAGAGACAAAAGAGGTAGGGATATGAAACCAGGGAAGGTGGCAAACTAGGAAGTACCAGGAATCTGTCTTTCCCCCTGGATGCTGTACCTGCAGAAACTCTCTAGTATGACAGTTTGGAACTCTCTGGTCTATCTGATGCTTGCAGCTTCTAGGGCAGTGCTTGGCTGGCAAATTACAAATAATTTTGGCCAATTCTAGCCATCAGCTTGGTGGTAGCTTTCCATTCCCCACCCCCCATCCCTGGGGCAGGCTGCTGTAGGAAAGGCAACCCACATTTCTTGTGTAGCTTGGGGCCAATGTGGGCAATAAGGACCTTGTCTCCTAAAAATCAGGATTGTGTTCTGATGGTGGACTGCTGCTCTGATCACTGAAGTGCAGTGTGGATGCAAGTTGCATTATTTTAACCACCACTGGCTAAAATGGTTTCCAATAGATTTAAAGGAGTTACACTTATTATTCTGAGATTCAAAAATATAAATAGATCTCCAGAAAACACACCTGAGGAAGCCTAGACAATGGACTTCCTAGGCAAAGATTTTATTTTTTATTTATTTTTTAAATGTTTTATTTATTTCTGAGAGAGAGAGAGAGAGACAGTGTGAGCGGGGGAGGGTCAGGGAGAGAGGGAGACACAGAATCCGAAACAGGCTCCAGGCTCTGAGCTAGCTGCCAGCACAGAGCCTGATGCGGGGCTCAAACCACGAACCGTGAGATCATGACCTGAGCTGAAGACAGACGCTTAACCGACTGAGCCACCCAGGCGGCCCATCTAGGCAAAGATTTTAAAACAAATGTCTTTAAAAGATCCTCAAAGTGCTAAAGGAAGACATGGAAAAAGGCAGAAAATTGATGTATAAACGAGAATATCATTAAAGAAACAGAAATTATAAAAAAAATTCTGGAGCTCAATAGTACCATGACAGAAATAGAAAAGGCAATAGAAGTTCAAAACCAGATTTGAGCACAGAGAAGACAGAATCAGTGAAATAAGAGAGGACACCTGAAATTACTGACTCTGAGAACAAGAGAAAAAGAAGGAAAAGTAACAGGACCTAAGGGATCTGTGGGACACTATCAAGTGGACCAATAAACACACTGTGGAAATCTGAGGAGGAGAGAGAGAGAGAAAGGGAAGGATAGAATATCTGAAGAAATAACTGGTGGAGGACCTGGCAGAATGGTTCCCACAAAGAATGGTGGCAAGAAGGGCCATTCTGCCATCAGTGAGGTAGGGACCCCAGAACACATCATTAACATTCACAAGTCCATCCATGGAGTGGGTTTCAAGAAGCCCCTTGGGCACCCAAGGAGACCCAGAACTTTGCCATGAAGTAGATGGGAACTCCATATGTGAACAATGACAGCAAGTTCAAAAAGCTATCTGGGCCAAAGAAATAAGAAACGTTCCATCCCATAACCATTTGCGGTCGTTCAGAAAACATAATGAGGATGAAAATTCACCAAACAAGCTCTATACATTGGTCACCTATGTACCTGTCACCACTTCTAAAAATCCACAGACCATTAATGTGGATAACAACTAATCACTGATTGTCAAATAAAAGTAAAAACTGGGGGAAAAAAGAGATAATTGCTGAAAACTTCCCAAACTTAATGAAATACATGAATCTAAACATCTGAGAAGCTCAACATTGAGTTGAATAAAATCAGAGGGAGGCCCACTTGAAACATTATCATCAAACTGTCAAAAGACAAAAAGAGAATCCTGAAAACAGCAAGAGAGAACTACTTCTCACATAAAAGGAATTCTCAATACGATAATCAGCTTATTTCTCATCAGAAACCTTGGAGGCCAGAAGATTGATATATTAAAAGGGCTGAATGAGAAAACAAACCTGTCAACCAAGAACTCTGTATCTGGCACAACTATCCTTCACAAATGAGGGAGAAATTAAGATTCCCAGATGAACAAAAGCTGAGGGAATTAGTTACCACCAGACCTGCTGTGCAAGAAATGCTAAAGGGAGTCCCTCAGGTTTGAAATGAAAGAAAGCTGGACAGTATAATTCAAAATTATATGAAGAAATAAAGATCTCCGGGAAAATAAATGCATGAGCAATTGTGAAAGCTAGTAGTATTGTAATTTTGGTTTGTAACTCCACTTTTTACACAGATGTAAAACACAAATGTGTTTAAAAACTATTATTAATCTATTAGTGAGCAAGTAACAAACAAAGATGTAATCTATGACATGAATAACAGAAAGGGGGAAGGACAGAGGCATTCCGCAGTAGAATTTTTGTATGCTATTAATCCCTTTAGAAACCACAAATAAAACAGCTGTAAAATATACACACATAAGGAAATACAAAGGAAATCAAAAACACTTCACTAAAAAAAAATAAACTAAACACAAAAGAAGACAGCAATGCAAGAAATGAGGGACAAAAAAGCTGTCAAGTACACAGGAAACAAACAGGAATGCAGCAGAAGTCCCTCCTTAATAGTAATTAGCTTAAATATAGATAGTTTAAAATCTCTAATCAGAAGACAGATAATATCTGGAATATCTTTTAAAAATCCAACTGTATGCTGTCTTTAAGAAACTCATTTTATTTTATTTTACTTGTTTATTTTTAAAAAATAGTTTATTGTCAAGTTGGTTTCCATACAAAACCCAGTGCTCATTCCCACAAGTGCCCTCCTCCATGCCCATCACCCTCCCCTCCCCGCCACACCCATCAGCCCTCAGCTTGTTCTCGGCATTCCAGGGTCTCTCATGGTTTGCCTCCCTCCCCTCCCTCTCCCCTACTATTTCCCCCCTTCTTCTCCCCTACGATCCTCTGTTAAGTTCCTCCTAATCCTCCTATACGTGCAAACATATGGTAGCTCTCCTTCTCTGCCTGACTTATTTTGCTCAGCGTAACACCCTCAAGGTCCGTCCGTGTGGCTACACATGGCCAGATTTCATTCTTTCTCATTGCCATGTAGTATTCCATCGTATAGATAAGCCACATCTTCTTGATCCATTTGTCCATTGATGGACACTTAGGCTCTTTCCATGTTTTGGCTATTGTTGAGAGTGCTGCTATGAACATTGGGGTACATGTGCTCCTATGCATCAGCATTCCTATATCCCTTGGGTAAATTCCTAGCAGTGCTATTGCTGGGTCATAGGGGAGTTCTATTGTTAGTTTTTTAAGGAACCTCCACACTGTTTCCCAGAGGGGCTGCACCAGTTTACATTCCCACCAACAGTGCAGGAGGGTGCCCGTTTCTCCACATCCTTGCCAACATCTAGAGTCCTCTGATTTGCTCATTTTAGACACTCTGACTGGCGTGAGGTGGTATCTCAGTGTGGTTTTGAGTTGTATTTCCCTGATGAGGAGGGATGCTGAGCATCGTTTCATGTGTCTGTTGGCCATCTGGATGTCCTCTTTGGAGAAGTGTCTGTTCATATCTTCTGCCCATTTCTTCGATGGGTTGTTTGTTTTTCGGATGTGGAGTTTGGTGAGTTCCTTATATATTTTGGATACTAACCCTTTATCTGATATGTCATTGGCAACTATCTTTTCCCATTCCGTCGGATGCCTATTAGTTTTATGGATTGTTTCCTTTGTCGTGCAGAAGCTTTTTATCTTGATGAGGTCCCAATAGTTTATTTTTGCTCTTGATTCCCTTGCTTTTGGGGATGTGTCAAGTAAGAAATTGCTGCGGTGGAGGTCAAGGAGGTTGTTTCCTGCTTTCTCCTCTAGAGTTTTGATGGTTTCCTGTCTCACATTCAGGTCCTTTATCCATTTTGAGTTTATTTTTGTGTGTGGTGTGAGAAAATGATCTAGTTTCATTCTTCTGCATGTTGCTGTCTAGTTCTCCCAGCACCATCTGTTAAAGAGGCTGTCTTTTTTCCATTGGATACTCTTTCCTGCTTTGTCAAAGATTAGTTGGCCGTACATTTGTGGGTCCAATTCTGAGTTCTCAATTCTATTCCATTGGTCTATGTGTCTGTGTTTGTGCCAATACCATACTGTCTTGATGATGACAGCTTTGTAGTAAAGGCTAAAGTCTGGGGTGGTGATGCCTCCCATTTTGGTTTTCTTCTTCAATATTACTTTGGCTATTCAGGGTAAGAGACTCATTTGAAATCCAAAGGTAAAATTAGCTTGTAAGTGAAAGGATGAAAGAAGGATATTCCATGTAAATAAACACCGAAAGAGAGCTGGAGTGGCTGTCCTAATATCAGACAAAATAGACTTTAAATCAGAAAAGGTTAAAAGAGACAAAAGCGGATGTTATATGTAGGCATACCTCAGAGATATTGCAGGTTTGGTTTCAGACCACTGACAGCAACTATCTCAATAAAGCAAGTCAAGTGAGTTTTTGGTTTCCCAGTGGGTAAAACAGTTATGTTTACACTAAACTGTAGTCGATCAGTGTGCAATAGCATTGTGTCTAAAAACACAATGTACATATCTTAATTTAAAAATATTGCTAAAAGTGCCAACCATCATCTGAATTTTCAGGGAGTTGTAATCACAAATCACCATAACAAATCAATAATAATGAAAAAGTTTGAAATATTGTGAGAATTACCAAAAGGTGACACAGAGACGTGAAGTGACCAAGTGCTCCTGGAAAAATGGCACTGATAGGGGCGCCTGGGTGGCTCAGTTGGTTAAGCGCCGACTTCAGCTCTGGTCATGATCTCGTGGTCTGTGATTTTGAGCCTTGTATCAAGCACTGTGCTGGCAACTTGGAGCCTGGAGCCTCCTTTGGATTCTGTGTCTCCCTCTCTCTTGCCCCTCCCCTACTCATGCTCTGTCTCTCTCTCTCCTTCAAAAATAAACATTTAAAAAAATTAGAAATGAAAGTGCATCCTTACCTAGATAAAAAAAGATTATACTGTGAACAATTATATGCCAACAAATGAGATAACCTAGAAGAAATGAACAAATCCCTTGAAACACAAATTACCCGACTTGAGAAGAAACAGAAAATCTTAGCAGACATAAAACAAACAGGCAGAGAGATTACAACAATAACTTAAAACCTCCCAACAAAGAAATGTCATGCACCAGAGGGCTTCACTGGTGAATTTCACCAAACTTTAAAGAAGAATTAACACCAACACTTCTCATACTCTGAGAGGAAGGAGAGAACACTTCTTAACTCATTCTGTGAAGCCAGCATTACTCTGATACTAAGTTCAGATAAAGAAATCACAAGAAGGTTACAGACCAATATTCTCTATGAATATAGATGTTAAAACACTAGCAAGCCAAATTTAACAGCATTTTAAAAAAAAATTATTCACCACAAACAAGTGGGTTTTATTCTAGGAATGCAAGGGTGGTTCAACATAATAAAATCAATCAATGTATCACATTAATAGAACAAAGGGAAAAACCCCACAGGATTGTCTCAATTGATGCAAAAAAGGTTTGTAACAAAATCTAACACACCCTTTAATGATAAAAACTCAGAACACCAGGAATGGAGGGGAAATTCCTCAATATGATAAAGGATGCTTATGAAAAACCTATAGCTAATATATGTTCAATGGTGTAAGATGGAAAGTGTTCCCCCTATGATCAAAAACAAGACAAGGATGCTTGCTCTCACTGCAGCTCTTCAACACAGTACTAGAGGTTCTTTTTTTTTTTTTTTTACAAATAGTTTATTGTCAAATTAGTTTCCACATAACACTCAGTGCTCATCCCCACAAGTGTCCTCCTCCATGCCCATCCTCCCCCCCCCCCCACATCCATCAGTCCTCAGTTTTTGTCAGCATTCAAGAGTCTCTCATGGTTTGCCTCTCTCCCTTTCCCCCACCATTTCCCCCCTTCTTCTCCCCCTTGTTCCTCCGTCAAGTTCCTCCTAATCCTCCTATACATGTAACATATGGTATTTGTCCTTCTCTGCCTGATTTATTTCGCTCAGCATAACACCCTCAAGGTCCATCCATGTTGCTACACATGGCCAGATTTCATTGTTTCTCATTGCCATGTAGTATTCCGTCGTATAGATAAACCACATCTTCTTGATCCATTCATCTGTTGATGGACACTTAGGCTCTTTCCATGTTTTAGCTATTGTGGAGAGTGCTGCTATGAACATTGGGGTACATGTGCTCCTATGCATCAGCATTTCTGTATCCCTTGGGTAAATTCCTGGCAACACACAGTACTAGAGTTCTAATCAGAGTAAGTATACAAGAAAAAGAAATAAAAGAAGGCACCCAAACTGGAAAGAAAGAAGAAAACTATTCATAGATGAACAGGATTCCATATTTAGACAATCCCAAGGAATCTAGAGAAAGCTATTAGAGCTAATACAAGTCAGTTTAGCATAGTTGCAGGGTACCAGGTCAACACACACAAATCAGCTATGTTTTTTTTTTTTTTTAATATTTTTATTTATTTCTAGGAGAGAGAGAGAGAGAGAGCGTGAGCAGGGGAGGGTCAGAGAGAGAGGGAGACAGAGACTCTGAAACAGGCTCCAGGCTCCGAGCTGGCAGTCAGCACAGAGCCCGACGCGGGGCTCGAACCCACGAACTGTGAGATCATGACCTAAGCGAAAGTCGGACGCTTAACCGACTAAGCCACCCAGGCGCCCCAAATCAGCTATGTTTTTATACGCTAGCAATCAATAATCTGAAAAGGAAATTAGGGAAGTAAATCCGTTTATAATTGCAGCTAAAAGAAATATTTAGGAATAAATCTAACTAAACAGGTCAAAGATTTGTATGCTAAACATCACAAAACATTACTAATAGAAATTAAAGAAGACCTAAATACATGGAAAGGCCTCTCATATTCAAGGACTGGAAGACTTAACACTGTTGTTAACACTACCCAAAGTGATCTACAGATTCAACGCAATCCCCATCGAAAAAATTGCATTTCTTGGAGGAAATAGAAAAAATCCATGTGGAATCTCAAAGGTCCTTGAATAATCAAACAATACCGAAAAAAAAAGGACAAAGCTGGAAGACTCACACTTCCTGGTTTCAAAACTTACTGCAAAGCTACAGCAACTAAACAGTGTGGTACTGGCATAAAGACGGGCATAGAGACCAATAAACAGAATAGACAGCCCAGAAATAAACCTTCACATTCATGGTCATATGATTTCTAACAGGTGTGCCAAGACCTTTCAAGCAGGAGAGAACAATCTTTTCAACAGCTGGTGCTGGGAAAACTAGATATGAATATGCAAAATAATGAAGTATACAACATCATCTACAAAAATTAAATCAATGGATCAAAGACCTAGATGTTGATGTTAAACTATAGAACTCTTAGAATAAAATATCAGGGAAAATCTTCATAACATTAGATTTGGCAACAACCTCACGGATATGATACCAAAAGTAGAGGTGACCAAAGAAAAAATAAATTGAGCTTTGTCTAAAATTAAAAGCTTTTCTGGGATGCCTGGGTGGCTGATGGTTAAGCATCTGACTCCTGATTTTGGCTCAGGTGATAATCTTACCACCATGAGATTGAGCCAGGCACTGGGCTCTGGGTTGACAGTGTGGAGCCTGCTTGCGATTCTCTCTCTCTCCCTCTCTCTGCCCCTTCCCCCTTTCTCTCCCTGTCTTGTGCACTCACAATCTCTCTCAACATAAATACTTAAGTAAACTTTAAAAAATAATTAAGTTAAAAATGTTTCTGTATCAAAGAGTGCTATTAAGAAAGTGAAAAGAAAATCTACTGAATGAGAAAAATCTTTGCAGATCATAGACCTAATAAAAGATTAATACCCAGAATATACAGAAAACTAAACAAAAACAACCTGACTAAAAATGATGGGACAAGAACTTGAGAAATGCTTCTCCAAAGAAGACATACAAATGGTCAGTAAGCACAGGAAGGGGTGCTCAGCATCCTATGAAATTGGGGAAATGCAACTCAAAACCACAATGAGATGCCAGTTTATATCTCCTAGGATAGTTATAATGTTGAAAAATAATAAAAAACAGAAAATAACAAGTGTTGGCAAGGATGTAAGAAAAGCAAAACCCTCGTGCACTGCTGGTAGAAGGTACCAGGAGGGTAAAATGGTATGGCTGCTGTAGACAACACTTGACAATTCTTCAAAAGCTTATATATAAAACTACCTATGACCCAGCCATTCCACTCTTAGGTACACAGTCAAAAACACTGAAAGCAGGGACCCAAGCAGATATGTGTACAGGTCCCTTCAGTATAGCATTATTTACAATAGCCAAAAGGTTATTTACCCTAGTGTACATCAACAAACTAATGGAGAAATAAAATGTGGCACAGATGTACCAAATGTGGTATATATGTTGGACTACTACTCCAGCATGGAGTACTGGAATGAAAATAGAATAAACGCTACAACATGGGTGAACCCTGACGACACAATGCTTAGTGAAACAGCCGGACACAGAAGGACAAATGTATTTTCCATTTATACAAGGTATCTAGAATAGACAAATTCATAGAAAGAAAGTAGGATAGAGGTTTCCAGGCACTGGGGAGAGGGGAGGAAAAGTGTATTATTGTTTAATGGGTACAGGGTTTTTTTTTTTTTTTTTGGAGATGATAAAAAGGTTGTACGTATAGAAAGTGGAGACAGTTATACACACTCTGAATGTGTATAATGCCACTGAGGCATATACCTATAAATGGTTAACATTATTATAATAATATGACATGAATATTTTACATGTATACCTTTATGTGCATGTAAATACTATGTTATGTATATTTTTCCACAATTAAAATTTTAGAAGTCATGGCCAACCTTCCTGACCCCTCACCATACAGAGATGACTAGGTATTAGCCAGGTAAAGGCAGAGAGGAAGCGTTCACAGAGGGAACTGCCTAAACGTGCACTGCTAGTAAATGGCAGAGTGGGGATGTGAACCGTGTGGCAGTTCTCCCTCCAAAGGCCGTGGGGACCTGTTGCCTCCCTGGGCACGGAGTGACCATGTGGATGCCCTGCACGTGCAGCAGCCCAGGCTATCTCCTCAGGTGCCTGCAGACGACACACTGCACCTCGTGCCCATGGAAGACACACCCCCAGGCTCACCTTGGTGGTCAGAGAAGCAGCAAGTTCTTTGGTGAGCTCTTCCAGGGCCTCCCGGTTCCGGCCGCAGAGCACCAGCCTGGCGCCTGCAGTGTAGAAGACTCTGGCACATTCTAAGGGAGGAAGAAAGAACCTTGACAGTTGAGGAGATTCAATGCTTTTCTTCCCTAGTGCAGGTCAGTCCAAATTTACCTGATGTTTCAGAATATGAATTTGTTTCTTCACATGCTCTACACCAGTGTATTTACCTCTGCTGTGGACCAGGCATGAAGCCAGGTAGTTAAGGCCCCAGTAATAAATGAGCTTTGCTGTCGCCCTAAGAGAGCTCAGGGTCAGTAGTACAACAGACACCCACAAGGCAGGAGGAAGGTCGGGACTGGCAGACAGATTTCTTAGGTACCATGCTCAGGACTTTCCATAATGATCTTTAGCTCTGAACAACCCTGTGAGCATTATCCCCATTTTCATACACGCATAGGGGGCTCAGGACTCTGTTGAGAAGGGATGGGGGGCCCTCCCCCAGTCCTGAGGGGCTGTTTCTCTGGAAAGTGCTCAAGGCTAAGGGGGCGGAGTTTGAAAAGCACCTGAGGGACCGTGGACAGACCCATCTGGGACATAGAGTGTCAGCCTTGCTAGGCTGGGAGATGGCAAACAAGTCTAAAGAGGGGACGCATGCTGAGTGCTACAGAAGTGAAGGATCAGGATCGGGAAGGGAGGCTGTAGTGTAAAGTGTCCCTCCTGCTGGGTGAGAAGGAGACTGGTGGGGATTGGGCTCTGCTGAGCCCACTACAACATTCCAGGTGACACGTGATGAGGACATCAACTGAGACCAAGGTACCTGTTAGTCAGTGTTCTTTTGGTGGCAAGAAGAGACCCACTGCTCACTGGGGCAAAGCAAAAAGACTGATCAGGAGGATGCTAGGATAGCTCAAGAATCAAGAGAAAAGAGCTGAGAGGCCAAGGCTTGGGAGAGGCAGGAGCGGTGGCTGCTGAGGGCCCCCGGCAGCAGGAACCAGGTGGGGCTTCTCTCCACTTCATCTCCTGGGGGGGCTGACCCTCATCAGCACAGCTCCCCTGCCAAGTGGCAAAGGGACGTCTGACTGAGGCAGGCTCTGTGGCCATAACCCCAGGCAGGGGCTGTGGCCAGCTGCAGTGGGGTGGTATCTCTAAGACTAGTCCAGCTAGGGTCACAGGTAAGTCCCCTGAGGCCCAGTGGGACGGGCAGGGAGAGGAGACTTCCAGAACCAGGACTAGTGCGTGGAGGAGAGGGAGGAAGCCGAGGGTGAAGGGCTCTTGCTTCTTGCTTGTTCTGTGGCCAAACATGGCCTAACTGAAAGTCTAGTGCCCTGAAAATGAACAGCTTATGAAAAGCAGTACAGCCCAGTGGTCACGATAATGGACTTGAGCTAGACTTGCTACATCCAACACTGACTTCTGACACTTCCTGCTTCTGTGATCTTGGGTAAGTTATAACCTCTGTGTTTCTCACTTGCCTCTTTAGAATGTAGACAGAAATAGCTCTGGGACTGAATGAGTTAAAATAGATACATTACAGTACAGAAAAAGCACTCTAGAAAAAGCACCATATAAGTATTCATTGTTTTCATATTTCTAAGCTGCCTTTTTATTTATTTTTATTTGAGAGAGAGAGAGAGACAACACAAGCAGAGGAGAGGGGCAGAGGGAGAAACAGAGTGAATCTTAAGCAGGCTCCATGCTCACCAGAAACCTTGACAAGGGCTTGATCCTACAAACCTGGGACCATGACCTGAGTCAAGAGTTGGATACTCAAACTGACTGAGCCACCCAGGTGTCCCTAAGCTGCTTTTTAAAAATGTTCTAAAAACTGACTGTTGGGGAAAACTGAAAGGTGAGGGTTTGAAGAGGCACTGCCTGTCCCGCCCAAGGGCTAGGCTCCCTCAGATGCCCACGTGCAGGTCTGCAGAGACCCCTCAGCCCCTAGCTGACCCAGCAGCCAGTGAGCCACCCACTGCGTCCTGGACCGAAAATCTCAGAGGCTCAGGCTGGCATGTGATGTCTAGCACCCTGGCTCAGGGAAAGGACCGGCCTGCCCTGAGGGCCATGCAGCAGGTGGTTGAGAGATCAAGTTTGTCAATTTCTGGCTGGGATGGGAGGAGACTGTAGGATCCAGGCAGGCTGTACTGGTCTGATAGCCCTTCCCCCACAAAAGTGTCAAAAGCAGGAAGGGAGGAGAAACTCCAGCATCCTTTGGGAAAGTGGAGAGAAAAGTTCTCTGACATCTGGGTTGTCTCGTTGTGCAAAGCCCTCTCTTTTCACTCTACAGCTCCTCCTTGAGCTACTCTTACAACTTTTACTTATCATCCCCAGACCAGCACCTCCTGGTATGTCTCCAGGTGGACTTTTTTGGAAGGAAGTGCTAAGTGGACTAAACCAAGATATTTTCAGGGGAGCTATATCACCTTCTTTGAAGATCTGGTTGGTGTGTTCACTGGCTCATCCTGACAAAGGGCGCAAACCCAGACAAAGCTTCAGCCCTCACTCTGCTTGTCCCCAGATGGCCTGGTCAGGGTCACGGCCTCTGACCAGCCGGCCTTGCTGTGCTTTCTCAGCAGAGCAGCAAACGCCTCATAGGGGTGGGGGTGGCGGCTGCCCTCAAAGCCAGACAGCAGCATTCCTGAGGCTAGATCTGCTCATCTGGTTTACAAAACCATTCCCAAAGATGAGGAATCTCAGACATGGCTGGCCTCCTCACCCCATTTCATCCTGACATGATGGATACAAGGACATGTTGTGAGGTGCCGCCCAACGTGTAGACACACAGAACCAAAGGGGCGGGGGGGGGGGGAGGCACACCAGCATAGAAACAGCTTCTGGAAAATGGTCACGCATGTTCTGCTTAAGCTGTGCTTCCCAGCAAAGCCAAAAAGGGAGGAAATGAAAGTCTGTGTAGGGAGTGACAGAAACGAAAACAACAGATTGCAAGGATTCCATTTTCATTTCTTGAAAAAGCTGACACAGGGAGGCAGGAGGGTCAAGGGAAAAAGGAAAACAGTCCCAAAATACCATTTATCTAGCTGGGGCTGCCAGATGAGTCCCCACTGCTGCGGGCACTCCTGGCCTCTTAAATCAAGATAGTTATTCACAACCTCAGGGCTTAGGCTGGCTAAAGTGGGTATCCAGAACATTCTGTTCCTTTAGTCAATGGTCTTACTGTTTTAAAAGGATAAGCTCATGTAGCTTAAATGTACAAAATAAGAGGAATACAGAAAGCTGTCTGAAGATTTATCACATAATCCAGACTTTCAGAGCAGCTGACATGGCAGGCAGAGCAGAGCCACCAAGGGCAACTCTTCCTCCTCTGAAAGCTCGGGTGCAGCAGCACCTCCTTGGGAGTCTCCACCAGCACTGTCTGTACTTGAGACGGCTGCGTAAGAATCTGCTCCCATTCCACCTGGCTGGAGGGGGGAGAGACCCATGGACTCTTCTCCCTAAGGTGTAACATGGGGCAGAATAGATGCAGAGTGATTTGGAATTTGGGAAAAGGCTGACCTAATAGAGGATACACACACACACACACACACATACAGAGGTTTTGTTTTTCTTTCAATTATATTTTCTCTTCCTTTCCCAGGCTTCGTTTCCAGAAGAGGAAATGTAGAATGATGAAGAGGACAGTGTCCTTCTTTAACATTCCCATATTAGAGCACCTGCAAGTCCCCTTCCATCCCAGCCAACTCTCAAATACTCTTCAAGGACTTTAAAAAAAAAATGCTTCTCTCTGAGATCAAGAGAAGTGGCTGCTGACTACCCTATATATAGTAGCTGAGTAAGGTCAGAGGACTGGCTGTGGCAAAGGGCCTGGAGGCAGCTGTCCCCATGCAGGTCTAGATATCTAATGACAGCCCAGCTTCACCCCCAGAGACTCCATCTAAAACATCACAGCGGCATGCAAATGAGTCCACCTGAAGCTTTCCCAGGCTCCCCCTGGCCGCCTGCAAGCCACTTACCCTGTAGTCAAGGCCCCCCCTCCCCCCCGTCTGCTCCTTCTTGTTCCTGCCACCCCCAAGTGCTTCCCAGCCCTGCAGCACCATGCTGCTCCCTGCTCTGAGGCTCTCTGCAATGCCCTCCCTGCTGGTCCATGCTTTCCTTTCTTGGGCCAACTCCCCACCTCCCACTGAGATAAGACTGAGTCCTGGAGTCAGACATGGGGGTGAATCTAGAAGTCCTAGGGCAAGTCTCTGAATCTTAGCCGTGAGGATTCAGGGAGATAAAGCACAACCCAGCGCATCCTCCTGCTGGGCCTCAATGCGAGCATCCATCACTGAAATGTCAATATACTGAGCCAAGTCCTTGCCCCTCTCCATCAGACTGTGAACTGCCTGAAGGAAGGGACCCTGTCTTTCATCTGTCCCAGCACTTGGCCCAGAGCCTCACAAATGGGTGACGTCCCATCAGTGCTGGCTGGGCTATGATACCAATGGACAGATGGAGCAGGGACGGGGTTACCACGACTCTTGGTGCCTCTCACTCAGCCTTCTTCCATGGACTGGAGCACCAGTGTGCATGATGCACTGGTGTGGTGTGTCGTGGGTGCCAATGAGGAGGGGGAAGCCCATGTGACATGCCTGCATGTGCCCTGGGTACTCTGCCAGAGTCGCTGTACATGTGAGCACGGGAAATGACGGCAGCTCTACAGACTCATCTATGAGGCAGGGGGTGGTCTGGGCCTGCATCCGAGCATACAGTTCCTGGGCTGAGAGGCTCCCCGTGTTCACCAAAGTAGATGGAACGAACTTGGAGAACCTAGGTGAGCCACGGCTCAGTATCATTTATTCTGTTTCCAATCCTGCCGAAGCACAGCCCCAGTGAGAGGAAGGTGAGGAGAAGGGGACACGGAAGGCCAGGAAGCAGGGAGGCTGGCTAACTCCAGGAAAAGGCACATTTCGTTCAGCCCTCACAGGGATAAAAATATTTTTTAAATTAGTTGTCGTATTTGAAAACCAGGAGCCTTCACATAAAAGTCCCTAATTTCACAACCAGCTGGGGCTGAGTAAGGCTGCCCCCTCAGATGAGGCGCGGAGTCTCTAGGTTGCCACGGCCTTCCTCATGACCTCTGCCTCCCAACACTGATGCTGGCACCATTCTCACTGCACTTAAGCTCTTGCTTCTTCCAAGCGGACCAGAGACAGTGACAGACTCTTGTTCCCCAGTCACCCAGCCTGCGTCGCTTATTTGCACCTGTGCAGCTGAGCTGTTCCTCGTGTCTGGGCCAAGTTCCCTGCCCCTCCTGACAGCACTGCCCACGGGACCCACCTCGCCCCAGGCCTGAGGTAGCGCCTGTAATGACCACCACGGCGTTGCGGAGGTAGGCCTTCATTCGCACCCGCTGCAGCAGCTTCAAGAGGCTGAAGATTCCCACACAGCCAAAGAGCAGGGGCAGGATGGCCGTAGAGGTGATAAAGTCCATGACCCTCACCTTCAGCAGACTCTTCCTGAAAGAATCCAAACCCAACGAATTTGTGACAAAATAGGAAAACTCAAGGAACCGGCCAGCCCTCCTCCCCCTAGACTGATAGAGAGCCCAGATCTCTCTTGTGCAGACTTTAGCTCTGAGCCCAACAAATATCTTTCTAGGCCCTGTGCTCTATACCGACTGCCCAACATCATGGAACTTGCCTTTTCTCACTCTGACATGAGCAAACGGCAAAGCCACAGACCTCACGATGCCTCTCAGAGGCACACAGCAATCCCAGAACAAGCAAGGGAGTCATTCAGCACAGGACCCAGTTTCTTAGGACTGTTATAGGAGGCTCTGGCCCATCGACACTCACCTGAATCTCCTTCAGAAGACTATTTAGGGGAACTTAGGTATACCCATTATCATTTTCAACCCCTATTTGTGAAACTAGAAAACATTTTTTAAAAGAGGAAAGTGAAAACCACACCAATCCATATATATATACTCCTCCCTAAGCATATGGATGTTTCTGGGTGGGGTGTCCTCTGGATGCTCTCTGCGATGGCCCACAAATACCCTCCTGGTCACAGGCCTCACAGGCACCCAAAGGGAATTCAGGGCAGAGGGGAGCTGCCCTTTGCCAAGTGTAGGCACAGACTTAGGCTGTGAAGTGGACTGTCCTGCCATCCCTGAGCCGTGTTCTCACTGAGCATTCGCAGGGCAGCCACAGTTAGCCAGATGAATCAGGAGGCCACAGGCATATTTGTGCAACAGTGGTCAGCTGTTAGGACAGACATCCACTCCTTCCACAACTGCCCCAAATTTCCTTGCCTCCTCCCCACCACAGGCTTCCCCAATCCCTTGCCACTCACCCATGCCCTTATGCCCACAGCAAGCTAAGAGAGAAGCAAGACAAAGGATTAAAGGTAGGTCAGGAATGAGTTTGTGAGGAGCAACAGCACATCTGTCACTTTGAAAGAAATGTCCTGTAAGGTCATTTGACATGTGGGTTGAGTCTATTATAGAGAAAGCCCCCACCCACAGTCCACCTCCAGGACTGAGACATTATCAGCATAGTAATCCTGTTCAGGGAGGAAGACACTGGAAACCAAGAGCAGAGCTCCTGTGAACCAGCATAAAGCTTTCAATTATTTGTCAGATTGGGAGTAACTACGTAAAAACTCCCACTCACCTGCTGAATGTCCCATGTCCTCACCTCCATATATTTAAAAAAACATTTCTGCTTCCATTCCCAAAACACCACCACCTCTGTGGACACCATGAATCCTGGAACCCGCTGAACCCCAATGCAGATCCACTTACACGCTGAGTTGGCTTTGATCCTGAACCTTAGAATCAGGGTGAGCTGTCCTGACCTAAGTTAAACTGCTAGACTGCAAAGGCGTTCTGCTCGGATTTGAGCTGTCAACACAACTAGTTTAGTATTTAGTTTATTTTTTCATCTGCCTTTCCAAATATATCCAATTTCTTAGTCACCATAAAAAAATTAACATTCTTAGACAAACATCTGTAAAAATTACTGTTTCCCATCAACCTCCACTTCATCTACTTCTGAAAAATCCCTAACTGCTGTCTGCTAAGTGGTTACATTTCCCTCTCACCCTACACTGTGCCAAGCCTACACTTGGATGGACTGGCAATTAAAGTGGCCTCTAAAGTGCCCAACTCTTTTCCCGGGTACTACTGGCACCATCCCCTGCCCACAACTGGCAGCTGAGGCCAGGTGTTAGAGCCTATAGGCGAGGCCGAGTCCCAGGGGAAACGCTAGCACAAAGGTCTAGCATCTGGGAAGTACTCAGAAGCAGGGACTTAGAGTAGGTACCAGTACCTCTGAGTTTCACGGGTCTGTGGGTGCTACCTGGGGATCTTCACAGGACCCACCCGTGAAGACCAAGGCTGGAGGAGTGTTTCCTGGGGGTGGGAGGGATGAATTCTCAGGGGGCAGGAATGACTGCTAATTTGTTAGTGTAGCTTCACCAGAAAACTATAGCAATTAGAAAACATGGGTAGACTCCAAGGTAATTATAGCTCAGAACTGTCACGTAATAAATGTGGGGGTAGAGAGTTTTCAACCCAGCAGGATGGCTGTCTAGGAAGAGCTTGATCGCACTGTAATCCCAGATCCTTATACCAGGCAGGTTCCAAGGTGGACCACCCTGCTTGGCCCAGAATTACCCAGGACCTAGCCACTGCCTAGGGTGACCAGGGAGGTGAAGATGGGACTCATAAAGGGACAACAGGCTTCAGCCTGTGGGTGGGGGCCCAGGGCTCCATCAGGTCAGCTGGGTGGAAACGGCTCTACATACTCCTCCACAGGTCCCTAGAGAACAGTCTTGTGAAGCCTGCCCATTTCAGACCTTCAACCTGGGGCTGAGCCAGAGCTCCACTGAAGTTTATGGGGGGCCTGCTACCCCCCAGATTCAGAGGTTGCAGAGACCACATGGAAAACACTAACTATGGCAAAGTGACAGTAGTGCAGGGGTTACAAGGATGAACCCTCGAGCCGCCTGCCTGGGTTTGCATCCTGGCTCAGCCACTTACTTACCAGCCTGGGTACAGGACCTCACCACGCTGGGTCTGAGTATCCTCATCTGCCAAATGAGGGTATGTGAGTGCCCACCTCACAAGTCTGTTATGAAGTCAGATGAATTATTACCTGGAAATGTGCGCCTAGTCTCTAGAAAAGGGTGAACACCCAGTAAATGTGGTTGCCGTCAGCAGCATCATGGCCCACAACTAACTAAAAGCTCCTGACCCAGGAATCAGTTTCATGGCACTCGGATTTCCAAGGTTGTTTGAAAGAGTCCCTGGTCTATGAAAATTGGTTTTTTCCAAATGAAGGAAATTCTTTAAACACAGAGTTCACTGGAGTTTAATTTTTATATCTTCATAAACCCTTTGGTTTAATTACATTAACAAATAGGAAAAAAGATACCCCAACTCTGTCAGAAGTCAGGATCCCATATGCCAAAGTTTGTATCAGAAAGTGTGTCTACCAGAATAGTTATCGAGGCCAACACAGCAAGGAGAGAGCAGACAAGTGTCAATCTGTCACCGCCACCCTTTTCTGACGCCCAGGGAGGAGGAGGATGAAAACAAACCCACCTTGCAAGGTCCCCCCCTGGAGAACAACGACGCTCCCAACAAACTGCATTTTCATGCACCTATTTCAAACCCAAGCCAGCAATCTAGGACACGAATAAAAGAGAGAAAACTACACACCGTCTTGTACACTTCTGTGATTCCTTGAGCACCTGACACAACATGGCAAGCCAGTCTTGGTCTCCTGGCCCTGGGGACCACTTTGCCTGAGGCAAATATGGCACCACGTTAATGGGATCCATCCTCGGCCCACGGCCGGCTTTCTGTGGGGAGAGCGCACATCTGCATTCAGTCTGGCAAGTCGTTACAGAATCAGAATGCAAAGTAAATTATAAATCAGCACCAGGTGTGCCCAGCTAACTCAGGAAGATGACGGTAGGAAAAGACATTCCAGAGCAAGCCATTTATTTGAGAGCATCACATTCAATTTCAGGGTAGGTATTCAGGTCACTTTCCTGACCAGGTGAAGGTGGTCATATTGACAATCCCAACTTTCCAGGAGCTTCTCAAGTTCTGAAAAACCTTCCTCCTTTTATTCCACTCTGCAGTGCATATGGCCATACTGATGGGCCCCTGGGCCACTAGGCCTCTCGGGTCTCTGAGCACCAGCTGGGCCAGCTCCTCGTCTCACTCTCAGCAGTCAGGATGTTCAAGAGAGCAAGACACGGAGACAACTCAGCCCTACTGCCTTGCTCTGGTGTCCAGGGGCATTCTCCAAGCAAAGAGACAGCTTCAAAGTAAAAGAAAGAAATTGTGTCCTGGCTGGCCACATTTCCAGATTAGGAAATAAATCTCTTATGTCAAACAAGGTCAAAGAGGGTCTGTTTTCTTTGAAAATGGCATTTAAGAAGGATTTTAATATGTTTACAAGTTTTGAATTTTATACCAAAATGCTCAACTGCTAGTTTCAGATAGAACTGGGAAGGCAGGGCTGACCGTAAAAAAAGAGAGTGGGGGGAAAAAAGTCTAGCTCACGATTTCTAGCGTTTGGAGATCAGCTCGTAGATAGAAGGACAGTCCAGCATCGCTGTGAGCTAGAGCAGAAAGTAGGGCAAGTCACAAAGAGAGAGCGAGGTCAGAAAAGGAAAATGGCGAGTAAGCCTCCCTCGAAGAGGAACCATAGATCACACATGGTGTAGATGTGCAGGTGCACTGCCTAATAGAAATGCATGCACTCACTGCCATGTCTACTCTCTTAATTGACAGGGAAGTGACCTGAAGCATGACCTTACAGTAATAAGTCACATCAACTGGTGTGTAGAAGTTAGAGAGGTCAGGCCTTTACGCACCAAGCTCGTCCACCTGTATCTTCATATCCACAGACTGTGGAGCTGTGGACCTAAGTTAAAAGAGGATAAAGGTAGAAAAGTCCCTCGGGGTGAGTGTTACTTGGGTCTGGGCAGCCAGAAAGTTCATGGATTCTCACTGTGACTTTGAAATTCAGCTGTTCCCTTATTCTACCGAGACATTCCTTTTGGAAACTCAAACTAGAAACAAGACAATCTCCAAGAAATCAACTCTGAGCAGAAATGTCACTTTAATGTTATTCTTTTCCTCATCCTTAGCCAAAATTCTACATTGCATTTCACAGATGGAATCTGTTCCTAAGATTCCTTTCTTCTCTCGAGCAATTATAAAAAATAATTTGAGCCATCAGTAAAAACAATTTGTTGGAATATACTCAGAACCACACATGGAAATTAAGCCTTTAACAGCCACATCTGAAAATCAAAAGAGGGCATCCAAAAGCCTTCCACGGTTAAAGAATAAAAATGATTTCAGGTCTGAAAGAAGGATTAGTCATGGAATAATTTGCCATGTTATGCACAAGAAAATGGGGCTAAAGGGCAGAGAGGAGTTCCAACTGGAAAGCAGGACGCTGAAATCATGCGGCAAGCAGTGGCTTAGTAG